AACTAACTTCTTCGCCCGCTGCGCAGTTTTAGGTGTTTCCTGAACAATTTTTTTTTCCCGAGTTGGTGTGCTTTCAAACTCACTGATTCAATTTCGGTGCAGACAGCACTAGCTCCCCCGTGCTCGAATAATGGTATCATCGTGAAATGACTCGCTTATAATAATAAATAGCTTCTCACCGGACGGGAAGAGGTAATTTTAACGTCAAGTCAGTTCGCCTTCAACCTATAATGCAGGCAATATGGGCTCTCTAGTGGTCGAATAGTGGTATCAGCGTGAAAATACTCCCTTACTCGGTTTACACATACACACAAAAAACAGCTTTTTCCCAGGCGAAAAGACGTATTTATAACGCCAAGTCAGTTCGCCTTCAACTTTAAGTGTAGGCAGTATGGGCTCCCAAGTGGTCGAATATAGTGGTATCATCGTGAGATGACTCGGTAATAATACTAAATAGCTTTTTACCAGACGAGAAGACGTATTTATAACGCCAAGTCAGTTCGCCTTCAACTTTAAGTGTAGGCAATATGGGCACCCAAGTGATCGAATAGTGGTATCATCGTGAGATGACTCGGTAAATCAGTAATAATAATAAATAGCTTTTTACCGGACGGGAAGACGTAATTATAACGCCAAGTCCGTTCGCCTTCAACTTTAAGTGTAGGCAATATGGGCTCCCAAGTGGTCGAATAGTGGTATCATCATGAAATGACTCGGTGATAATAATAAATAGCTTTTTACTGGACGGGAAGAGGTAATTTTAACGCCAAGTCAGTTCGCCTTCAACTTGTCCTTCGGCGCCAAAAAGGTTTTTCTTAAACTAACTTCTTCACCCGCTGCGCAGTTTCAGGTGTTTCCTGAACAATTTTTTTTCTGAGTTGGTGTGTTTTAAAACTCACTGATTCAAGTATGCTAAACGAAACATTTAAGTCTTAGCACATTTTTGAGACATTAAACGGAGAGAGTTGTTTCCGGTAATCCTGGCGCTACAATTCCGAGTCTTAACGGCGCCCGTATTTTACTACATCAGGAAGTTATGAGGGAGGATACGGTCGCAATTCATGTAATGGAGTCGCCGCGCATCTTGCCTCGCAGGAAACTCGAACGTCGTAAAACGTCTGGGAGCCGAGCGGACCGCTTAAAAAGCTCCGTGCGGAAGGGGGCGGGCCGCGGGCGGGGGATAAAAAGCAAATTATACCGTCGTGAATTCAAACGCTGTGAAACGTGATTACATCACTTATTAAACATCGATCCGGTGCGTATCCGCCAGGCTTCAACGACTTAACTTGGACGGTAAAAATCATTGTTAGCGAGCATTCCAGTGTCAACGCGGAGGTGAAAGAAAGTAGCGGGGTTGGGGATATCGCTCGCTTTTCTATTGAAGTATGAAAGCACAAATTCCTTTGCCTCTTCTTCCCTCACCCCTCCACCTCTTGCCCATCCGGTAAGCGGGAGTAAATAAGTAATTAAGTGGGGATGATACTTACCACTACGCCTGAGAGCGGTTGTCCCTCTGGTGAGCTACTCCCAGTGTTCGAAATTCACCTTTGAGTTTTAGGAGCCATGTGGCGCATCAAGCCCGATTTTTAGGCGCCATTGAAGATTTTTTAGGGTCCAAATTGACTTTTTGCCTATACATTACGGCGCATTCAGTGAAAAGTTAGATGCACGATGTTTTCGTGACAGAACTAGTAAGTAGCTGTAACTTGGGGAACACAAAAGCACAAAGGATGAAATCGTGAAGAATAGAAAAAGCTTTCACTTGTAGTGCTGAAAATTTCGGATAATACCTGATATGAAAATTCAGGTGTTTAGGGAGCAATTCTTAGGGGCCACGTTGGCGCAGAGCCTTCATTTTTTAGGCGCCATGGTCGATTTTTTAGGTGCATTTGGCGCGTTGGCGCCTGTGAGTCTCGAACACTGTCCAGTGTCAACGGGAGGTGAAAGAAAGTAGCGGCGTTCGGGATATCGCTCGCTTTCCTATTGAAGTATGAAAGCACAAATTCCTTCGCCTCCTCTCCCCCCGCCCATCCGGTAAGCGGGAGTAAATAAGTAATTAAGTGGGGATGATACTTACCACTACGCCTGAGAGCGGTTGTCCCCCTGGTGAGCTACACCCCTCCACCCTCCCATCGCCGATTTCTCGAACTGTCAAGTCGGTGCTTCGCCATGACCTCATACTTAATGTATGATCACAAAAGCGACTGTCGATCTTGCGGTGTTCTATTAATCTTTATTATGGGTCGGGAGCTTTGAGTTGGCTGTGCTTTTTTCGTGTTTCCCTCCCTTGAAATTATCTCTGTTTTTTCCTAGCACGCACCTATTTTCCGGCATAGTCGATTTCATGAGGGAAAGAGCTATGTGAATTTATTAATGCTGCTTTGGAGGAGACGCAGTAGCGTGGCGTACTTTGCGATAGTTCGATTGATCTGCCATTTAAACCTATGGAAAAGGATCGATGGATAGGGTGTTCCAACGAACACCTTAATAATCGATTCTTTACCATAGCTTCAAGTGGAGGAATCTCGATAATAGATTATTCACGCCTCGCCACTGGAGACGCACGGAGAAAAAAACCTCGTGCGTGGGACCCGAAGTTTAGGTCATATGGATCTCTGAAGTTTTCGGATTGAGCATTCGAACACTTAAGGTCCAGCTGCTGAGGTTTGGATCACGCATCTGAAACTTCAGTTCTTACATCTGAAGTACTTCAGATGTGAGAACCGAAGTTCTTCGGATGTGAAAACCGAAGTACTCCAGACGTAAGAACTGAAGTTTCAGATGTGTGATCCAAACCTCAGCAGCTGGACCTTAAGTGTTCAAATGCTCAATCCGAAAACTTCAGAGATCCATATGACCTAAACTTCGGGTCCCACGCACGAAGTTTTTTTCTCCGTGTGGACCGGACGGTAATGTGTAGTGTATTCTGAGCCGCTGGATCCGAAATTGACTTCAGATTTCATTTTATTTCTCATCAGAATTCCAGGATAATTATTTTTTCTAGCGCACTTTTTACGCTCCTTGAAGAGTATCAAAAGTTTGATGTAGATTTATTTCTTTGAAAAACTTGAAGATATGTGAAAATATTCCGAATCGTCTTTGGATTCAGCTGTTCAAAATACATTGACTAATATCACCTATCTGCAAATCGTCATCTTCCGGCCAAATTATCACAAGCGCCAGGCGACATTCCAAAATTTCCATCGGCGTTTTCTTGGTTTTTACAGAGAAATTGTCGTTTGAATCTGTTTGAAAATTTCACCGAATGTTATCGACAGCACAGAGAAAATTCTGTGAAATTTTCGGACAGCTTCGTTGAACAATTTCTCTGTAAAACAATAAAATGGCGGCGGAAATTTTGAAACACCGCAAGGCGCTTGTAACACTTTGGCCGGGAGATGATGACATTTTTATTGACCCAGGAAGTTCTTGTCCTTCTTCTCTTGCGAAAATTTGGCAACATGCAAAAGTTAATACGTTGTTCTTGCCGAGCAGGACAGTATCGGTGGCGACGTATCAGGGATGGATCTTGATTCGGGGTTCCACACAGAGCCGAGATTATTCGTCTCGGGGGGGCACCCCGGGGGAGGGGGAGGGGGTTTGCCCCCCCCCCACGGCTGCGGCTGGATGTCGTGAATAATGAGGAATCGACAGCCCGGCACAATTGTCGCCCGGGCCCGCGTTCCGCTTTTAGATAACGCCAGACAATATCATAATCCCGCACCCCCGCAGCTCCCTCCCCCTCCCACTCATCCTTCCCCGGGGGAGGGGGGCGATATTTGGCTAAATCTCCGCCGTTGCAACTTCCGTCCCAAAATGGGCAAAGTCGCCGAGCCGCGCAGAACCGCCAAGTCACTGCAGTGTTAACCATGATGTGGTGTTTTTGAATCGCGGTTTGTCAAATCGGGAAGGTCCAAAAAGAAATTTAAGTTTCCAAAAAAACATAACGTAACTTTCGGTAACTAAAAAGTTATTCTTCAGGTGTGTATAAAATGCTCGATCCCGCTAGCCTTGGCTCTAGCTGTTGACTATACCCGCCGTTTTTGTTTTAATCTGTCATGGCCGTCACGCCGCATAGGATATTTTGTGCGTAAAAATCAAGTTGAATATTTAGTTTTTGGTGGTCGAATTGGACAGTTTTCGCAGACTCGTCCATGCGCGTTTCACGCCGACCATGCAGCGACCGCACTGTTTGACGCAATGCGTGAAGTATTCCCCCAGTCTTGTAGGCGCTATTATGCTTTTTGTGCCGACCATCGACCGCACTGTCCGTTCTATCGAGAATTTTATGATTTTCCATTTCAGTAAGAACAATTCTCTCTCCTCAGACTCGCCGTCTTTAACATAATTTCAAATTCCGTGAGAAAAGCGCGATTTTAATCAACATTCGACTTCCTCAGCCGCAGAGAACGACCGTGATATCTCATAAACCGGAGGTCACAAATTAAAAAATGTAAAAAGTTTTTGATAGAAAATTTTGTGTTCATTATAAAAGGTCAATGGCATTTTTCCGTAGGATTGTTTTTGAGTTATAAGTGAAAAACCGGTCGTCTGCGACGTATTTTGCCCCCAGCTCGCTTTTTTAGATGGAGCGGTCAGTTGATTCCGGTAAATTTTTGTTATGTTGCGCTGGTGGCTTATTGCAAAATTTTTCCGTAAAGAAACCTTCTGTACATTGATTTTCCCCGGAAAATGCAAGACTAACTGGACTACATATTTTTAACATCGCTGAGGAGTGAGAGAATTTCAAGGTGGAGATAGTGAATATTCATACTTTTCTTCACCTGTGTTGCTCCCTCTACAACTGGACTTCATTTTGCAATTAAGAGCTATAATTTCTGGCTCATCTGCACCAAAAAACTTACGTGCATAGGGAGTTCAATGGTATATACGTTGTTTCTAAATTGAACCATATTAGTTGTTGTTCCGAATTGCGAAATGTGGTCCAACTATGCCAAGTGTCATCATTTTGATGAAGTGTTGATTTTTTTCTGTTGCAGATAAACCAGAGCCGAAATTGGTGATTGGTGCCTCTATAAACCCTAACACGATTCGGGAAGGATCCGACGTCTATTTCGACTGCACCGTACAAGCTGATCCTCCAGCTCATCGAGTTCAATGGAAGCACAACGTAAGTGAAACTTATTCATCGCTTATCACCGAGTATTTCTTGTAGGAGGTTGTCCTTATTTCTTTTATTTATTTTTTGCTCAGTGTGTAATTGTTCATGAGAAAAAGGGCTTCAATGTCGAAAATCTGAAAACTTGCAGATCGCCACCATTACCTAGATGAGTGGTTAACAAACTTAATAACCCAATTAAAAATGACAGGAAATTTCAAATCAAATCTTAGGAATCGCAGCTAGGAAATAATACTGAAAAGACGTATTTTTGAGAGGGTTCTCGTAAAATTGGCTTCCATTTTGTATGCCTCCTTAACGAAAAATTTGAATAAAATTGGCCAGAATGAAACAGTAAGAAAAAAAAGAGAGAAAAAAATCACACGATTAATATCGATGACCTAAGTGCGAAACCACGCATCTCTATTGCGGTGTTTCAAAATATCCGCTCCTGGTGAATGTTTTCAAAGAGGGACAAGTCAACTTTATAGCTTGAAATTTGCACAGAATATTCTACTAACATAGAGGATAAGTCAAGGGAGTTTTCAATAAATTACGTTGACTAGTTCTCCAAGGAAAAAATGAAGTGTGACTGGACGTCTACATTTGCAAACATCGTAAACAGATAGGTATATGTGGTCTCGCATTTCGACCATCGATATCTTTCTAAACATTTGACGTACAAGCAAATTCTTGCATCAAAATTACTTCGATAGAAACGCGCCAAGAGGGTGAAATCATCTTGAAATCAACACTATTGCAAAGAAATGATGCCAACATTTGGCTAAACAGCCACGTTTGATCAAGGCATTCAACTTTCGGCCCACTCCTCTCGTCAAAATAGCAGCTTTGAACTTTAAAAGCTTGGAAACGCGGTTTTTTATAATTTACTTCAGAAAAACCTGGGCTCAAAGCAATTTTGGGATCTTGTAACAGTCTCTTTATTATTTATTTTTCAGGGTCGGAATTTGCCTCACAACAGTGGGAAGAATGTGATAATCAGTAACCAAAGCCTTGTCATGCAAGGAGTGAGCCGAACTAACGCAGGCAACTACACGTGCCTTGGATACAACACCGAGGGCGAAGGAGAGAGCCCTCCTTTCTACCTTAACGTCTTGTGTAAGTTTTTACATGATGTCATTTCCGCTAACCACGAACTTCAGCGGAAATTCTGGTAGAAATTTTAGTATCGATTCCATTTTTCTGAAACTTGATTAATCAATTATCAACAATTCGTCGGCCTCCTGTGGTGTAAGGGTTGTAGCGCTGGCCCTATAACCAAGAGGTCCCGGGTTCGATTCCCGGCCAGGTGACCTGAGATTGATGGTCTCAGACAATGGTCACCTGGGGCTGGTGGGAAGCGTGGGATAAGCCAATGGGGGCTATTTGAAGCTTGTAAAAGAAAAGGAAAAAAACAACAATAACAAATCATTGTTTTTCGATTTCTGTGACGTTTCTCTGACACGAAAACGGCTTGCAAAATCAAACTCTCTGATATGCCGAATTTTTGCGGATTCTCTGACGTTTCCGCTGTTTTCCCTGATTCAAAAAGCAATGGAGATGTTGCATGTGTGAGGAATTTGCGATTTGATTGTTGATTCTTACGTAAAAGTTCGCGAGAAACTCGATGGTGCCACTGGTTTTATCTGAAATCGACTCCCAAGCTCAAGAAAAGCTCTCAAGTTGAGGCCAAAATGGAGGGGGTATCCCACGCTATCCTGAAAGTCCACCTCTACATCAAAACAAACTCTCCATGCAAAGATAGGGAGCAAATACATTAATCGGGCTGCCACTTTATTTGGGGACTCTAAAACTGAAAACACGGCAACCCTGCTAATGTATTTGCTCCCTATCTTTGCATGGAGAGTTTGTTTTGATGTAGAGGTGAACTCTCAGGATAGCGTGGGATATCCCCTCCATTTTGGCCTCAACTTGAGAGCTTTTTTTGAGCTTGGGAGTCGATTTCAGATAAAACCAGTGGCACCATCGTGTTTCTCGCAAACTTTTACGTAAGAATTAACAGTCAAATCGCAAATTTTTCACACATGCAACCTCTCCATTCCCTGACATTTCCCGGTTTCCCAGGTCGCTAGACACTCTGTAGAATTTGATTTGATGTGATTTTGAAATGTGGTGGTGTGATTGCAGACGCGCCGACGTGCGGGAAGAACCAGTCGCGGCTCCTGGGCGTGGCGAAGCAGGAGCGGGTGAACATCTCGTGCGAGGTGGACGCCAACCCGCGGGACGTGGTGTTCCGGTGGATGTTCAACAACTCGGCCCAGAGCGAGGACGTGGCGCCCGGCCTCGTCGTCAAGTCCGGCACGGCCAGCGTCATCTCCTACACCCCGCTCACCGAGCTCGACTACGGCACCCTCCTCTGCTGGGCCTCCAACAAGATCGGCCACCAGCGCACCCCCTGCGTCTTCCATATCATCGCTGCAGGTCCGCCCCCACTCTCATCACCTACATCCACGGTGTCAGTCGCACTGAAAAAAAAAATCTCGGTGTATTTACTGAAAAAAGGGTAAAATTACCAAGAATTCAGGGTTCTATTTGATCCCAGTTTTTTCTTGGTGAAATTACCATTTATGGAATTGGTAATTTTACCGAAAATCTCGGTAAAATTATTGAACTTCCTCGGTAATTTTACTGGACCTTGGTAAAAACGCCAATATTTTTTATCGACTGTGGTAGAATTACCGAGATAAAATGGCAAAGTTACCGGGAATTGATTACCAATAGAAGTGGTATTCTTACCTGAAAAAAACAGTGAAAATACCGGTTTTTAGGTAAGCTTACCAGTCTGTCTTGGTAAAATTACCAATAATTGATAAAAAAAAGTGAGATGGTAAAGGTACCAACAGACCGTGGTAAAAACGCCGAGAATTTTTTTCAGCGCGGCAATCACATAACTCATTTTCGGTGTTTGAAAATCTCCGCCTCTATGTTATTTTGTTTAAGGGAGAACAAATTGACATCATTCCTTGAAGTTTTCGCAGGATTTTTCTCGCACAGAGAAGAAATATCACGGTAGTTTTAAAGAATTGCCGTTGAGTAGTTTTCCGGTTAAAAAATAAAGTATGACAGGAAATCTGCAACGTCGCAAACCGAGTTATGTAATTGCCGACCTACACCGTCGATATCATCATTAATATAAGAGTGGAAGGATTCCACTTTTGAGTCGATTCCACATTTCTCTATTTTACTCGAGAGGTTGCCAGATTGCGTAATAAATGTGAATATTTTACATTATTGGCTTGAACTGGGTAGTGCCGAAAAAGCAACTTATCTGGCAACAGTAGAGTTTGGGAGGGACGAGAGGCTGCCTCCTTGGGAAGATCCATGCTTTGGCCGGAAATGTCATTAAAACAATTTGGTTCCGTTTGAAGCATCAAATTCATACTAGGGAAAGCTGGAGTACCTTTATAGGGAGCGTATGGACATGCAACTCGATTTATGTAGCTTTTAGGGCCCAAAAGGGAAACCACGTGAAAAACGAAGATCTGAGACCATTGATTTGGTGATTGATGGCATCTTTCAAAAGCATGAAGTTTACTCGCAAATTAAAACGAGTGACGATGACAAAAAGAGAGCGATAGTCGAAAAATTACGAAGTCCTAGCATCTGTATTCAATAACGTTTAGCATGATTTTTGAGCTTCATTAGAGGAAAAAGTGATGCAGAGATATGCTCAAAACCACCGAGGTTCCTTACGAATCAATAAAGATAATAATGCTTGTTCAAAGAAGAAAAAGTGCTGATATAAAAATAAAGGCCACTTACATCAAGCAGAAACCCGCTTTGATTCAGCTATTTCATCATTGATTCAAAATAAAATCTTCTTGACGGTATACTTAAACATGTTTCTGCCTAAATCTAGTCACAATTTTTCTGATGAAATTAAAAAATTATGCTAAACGTTATTAAATACGAATTTTAGGACTTGGTGAATTTTTGGACCACCGCTAATTTTTTGTGCCGTAGTTCTTGATTTACTTTGCAAGGAAAGCTCCACACTCTTAAAGGACGCCTGTCATTCTTAAAACGTTGGAGCGCCTTCAATTTCGTATGATACTGTGCAACACTTCCGTTGCGAAATAGTTGCTTGAAGCGCCGTGGCACGCGCGGCGCGGCGGGCGCCTACAAACCTAACAGGGATACTTCACGCATTGCGCAATGCGTGAAGTATCCCAGTTAGGTTTGCAGGCGCCATTGCGTATGTCGCGCTGATTGCACGCCGCTCATCTGCGTTTGGCTGTAATATTTAAACTCGCGGAATCAGCGTTTTTCAACTCATGATTTTGAAATGTTTGCACTCTCTGCATGAATTATTTTCTTTTAAATCGATGGAAAAAAATATGTATTAAAGGAAAAGATAATGTGTATTTTGTAAATATAAAGGTGGTCCCGCGTCAAATTTAATGATTTCCAGCACTTTAATTATTTTTTTTTACATTTTGTGCTTTCACTGTGCTGCAGAGAAGTGTTTGTATAATTAATTATGTAATATTAAATTAATTAATTAATAATTAAATTAATTATGTAATAATTGACCCACCTATAAGAACTCTAGCCCGGCTACATAATATTGTATCGCTTCGTATAGCCCGCGACTGTAAGATTTTCTATCGCTTTCTATCGCCCTCCAGAGCCGGCTATAAGAATTCCTATGGTATTTTGGAACGCAGTTCCTGTAGCCAACGGGTTCCTATACCAGAGTCTCAATATAGACAGACCTATTTCGTCTGATTTCGCCAAATTTGGCATGGTTACTTACTGCCGTGCTAAGGAAGAACGCCGTATGAGCCTTCAAACGTTGCCAAGTTTGCTTTGATAAAACGCAAATTTCCTGGTAAACTTATGAATATTTTTCTTCCAATTTTTCAGATAATTTTGTTCGCAATTTCACCTAAAGTCTCTGAAAATTTCAAGGAAAATGTACACATCTTTCCTAAAAAATAAACATTTTATTAAAGGAAATTTAGCAACTCTCGAATGTTCACACGGCGTTTTTCCTTAGCACGGCAGCATAGCCCTTTGGATTTTCTTCACAGGAGTGTATTTCATCTAATCGTATGTACGCGATGGATTTTTTCAGGACGACCGGATCAAGTGCACAACTGCTCGGTGCACAACATGTCCTTGAACTCGTTCATGGTCCGCTGCTCGGAGGGCTTCAACGGCGGACTCCACCAGTCCTTCATCGCTGAGGTCCGCGATTTCAACTCGCAGGAGCTCCGCGCCAACGTGACGTCACCTGTCCCGCGCTTCACCATCTACGGCTTAGATCCATCAACGAATTATCAAGTGCACGTCTTCGCCTTCAACCAGAAGGGCCGCAGCGAGCCTCTCGTCCAGCAGGCCTTCACGCTGAGGCTCCCTGAGAAGCACTTCACTAGTGATAGAGGTGAGTCCCGTTTATGCGATCCATCTCTGAGTAGGGGTGTCCACTGTACACTGGAAAAAAAAAAAAAACACATTGAATCTAGAGTCCAGAGTCTTGAAAACATTGACAAATTAAAAATACTCTTGATTCAATCAGATTTTTGCTTCAATCAAAAGGAAGTCCGCTCAAAATAAGAGGCTTGGTTCTTGATTTAAGCAAAAATCCGATTGAATCAAGAGTATTTTTTCTTGTCGATGTTTTTAAGAGTCTGAACTCTAGATCCAATGTGTTTTTTTTTCCAGTGTACGGAAAAAGTACAGTTACACCGAAAAAGCACAGTTTTCTTAAAGTCGGTACGAAAATACGGAAAAGGTACGGAAAGTCGAGATTTTCGTGATCAATTCTAAAAAATATCCCTGGGGGTATGCGATTGCCATTTAATAAGTTCCCGGTTCGATTCCTCGTGTTTTTCGGTTTATGCCTTTGTCATTCCATCGTTCCACTTCCCCAATCCGAATACAGTTAAAAATGCGTAGGAGGTGAGGAAAAAGTAAGGAAAAGGTCAGGAAAAAACAAGGGTTTTTAAGAACCGCCAAAAAAATGAATTAGGAAAGTAAGGAAAAAGCAAGGAAAAGGTACTGAATAAGTGAGGAATTTGAATGATAGGGTACCAATAGACACCCAATAGACATGGCTGAGGACAAATGGCTTTCCTCTACTTGAAATCATTTATATAAAAGATATCATCGATTTAATAATTAGAGTTGAATATTGAGGCGCTTGAAGGACAAGGTGCATACGTGCAGTTTTTGCTATTTCAAGAAAAACGTGTCTAAAGTTTCTGAATTGTATGATGCCTTATGGGGGAAAAAAAGCTCAAACTCACGATTTGATGCTTAAAAATTGGATTTTTCCTGTGAATTTTTTTAAGAAATTTATTTCAAACCTAGAATTAGTTTCGAAAACTGCACTCATGTGCTTTGTCCTCCAAGCCCCCCTAATCAGAACATTATTTGGACTACTTTTTGTAATTTGGACCTATAGATTCTAGGCCGGTTTAAAAACAATTGCCATTAGTTTCCCTATGCATATAAGTGTTTTTCCAGAAGAGCCAGAATTTATAGTTCCAAATTGCAAAATGCAGTCCATTTGGACAAATTTTGTCCAAATGCCCTTTATAGCTAAGTATTCTGTGGCTAACTGCAGGAGATTTTTGTGCGTTTTAAAGTAATGATTAAGTAAATTAGTCAACCCATTCCAGCTCAAGAATGGCAAACTAAATATCCTCATCCCCATCTGAGTATATTCTTATCCCTATGCATAAACATATCCTAGAATATTCTCCTTAGAATACTCAAAGGATCTTCACAATTCCTGAGGATACTTTCCGAATTCTCTGATTTCACAGATTTCACACTATTGAAAGAGTATTTTTTGTTAACAATTTTAATGAAACGTACGTTCATTGACAGTACCTATCCCTGAATAGCCTCAAACTGAAGTTACGTTTGATGACCTCTATATCCTGTTTATCCACTGAGGAGCTAACAGCATGAAATGAATTTTTCTTCACAGATCGGTTACGACATTCAGCATTCCACCTTACGACACCCATGAGCGTAGTGGTTGGCATTGTGGGTGCTTTATTCATAGCTGCTTGTTTCGTGGCAGCAGTGCTACGGTTGCAGTGTTCCCGAAACGAGCGGAAACGGCTCAAACAGAATACGAGCCCCTCCAAAGAGACTGAAAAAGACATCGCTGGTACGGACAGTGGCGGTGACAGTGATGAAAGGAATCCTGACATCATTCCACACCCTATAACAGGTTAGTCTTTTTTGGTTGCTTTACATTTCTGCTTCCATCCCTTCCCTCTAACTTCTCATTGTACGACCTCTCCAAGGAGGAACCCCATCAAGGACCTCCAAGGAGTTATCATCATACCCATGTAGCAGTGATCGCGATAAATAGCGAGTTTATCGGTTGGTTATTGCGCTTATATCGGTGGCAATATGTCGAGATATTAGCGCATTAAAAATTGCGATACATGGCGATTAAATCGCTACACATCGCAATTTTTGGTTCGATTAAGTCGCGACCACTTTTCATCGATAAAATCGAGATTACATCGCCATATCGCGATTTTTACTTCGAAAAGATCGCGATTTTATCCCAATAAGATCGAGGATGATCGCTCAGATATTGATGATCCTAGCGATTTTATCGCTATTAAATTGAAATATATCCCGATTTTTTCGTTGAAAAATGCTACTTGGGTAATATGTTCAAAATGAAAAGAAGTTCACATTATTGTGAAATGCAAAGTAAAATGTAGTGTAAATATACGTACGTACAAAATGCAAGATATAATATGAAGGGAAACATTTTTGTGAAGATCGACTACCCTCTTGATGTAACTATTGCAATGCTTGTAAGAGCATTGGGATTTTTACAAGAGACGAGCAAAATGATTTTCCAATTCACTTTTTTGATTTTTACAAAGAGTTCTCTCTAATAATTGTTTGAGCTTTATAAAAAAATCTTTAACAGCCGGTTTTTTTTCAGATTTTGATGAGACTGAGCGAAGGCAACTTGTTTCGACGATAGAAAGTGCAAGACTTATACATACTCATGGAGGTTACTCACCCATTCGAAATGGAACCCTCCCACTTAGGCATTTATACTCACCAAACTTACAGGTGAGCATCATTACTCAAAAAAGTTTCTCCCTTTGATCTTAACGAAAATAACACTTTACCAAAATTTGAATAACTTACAAGATTTGTTACAGTAGTGTATACTGATATTTCTTATATTGTTGGCTCATCAGTCAATGGAGCACACATTTTTATATCGATCGTCGCTGTTGGCCGAAGTCATATGCAACATGTTAAGTTTTGTACCATTGCCATTTCCCATAAGAATTCAATACTTTAAACATTGTATAATCATCGTTTTGAGTAAATTTTCTGCAATTTTTTTTTTTGTTTCTTTGAAAAGTATTTCCTGCAAACTTCACTTTTATGAGTGTTGCAATTCTCTCTTGAAAAAACAAAGTATTAATTGACATTTTTGAACACCATTTTTTAAATATATGGTTTCTGACTTTAGCCATTGGTATGTCTGTAGCTATGTATATATGTAATTAGCCACAGCGTCTACAGCCATGTCCAAGGCTTCCATACCAAAGGCTATATCTACGACTGTATTCACATGCATTACATCTAAATGTGTTGAAAACATTTCAAGCAAAAACTTTCAAAATTTATATTCGAGATAAAGTTTTGAATGATTGCGATCCATCCATTTATATGTCACAGTCACAACCAAAAATCCTGTGCAATACATGAGTTTTATGACTGTTTAATGATGATGCTAATTTTCTCCTTAATGATTGCAGACTATACCCTGTGATGACAACCTTTTGATAGGAGGGGGCACTCTACCGAGGCAGAAGAGGACAAAATATGAAGTTAGTTCATGTGTACAGACGCTGAGGCAACCAATCGTGGCTACACCACTGCTGCCTGAAGGAATCCCCTTTCCTCATTCACCTCTCAAAGTAAACAGCTCATTAGTAAACAAGCGAGAGAGTGCTGTTTGACTAACAACTCAGTTGTAAACTCAAAGTTTACAACAGCCTGATAGTTATTAATGTTTTTCTACTCTTAAATTTGTAAATATGTAACTTTTTGTTTTCCCCTTTTTTATTTTCTATTTCTTAATAAAAAGACTATCAATTTATTTTTAAAAAAAAATTGTTTTGCCTTTTTTTCACCTTCCGTACTGAGGAAGGAATTTTCCGGATTGAAAATTAAAATTTTTTAAGATCAAAAAGATATGTGAATCAAAAGCATAAATTGCTAGAAATATCAATTTCTGAGGTATCAGCTTACTTTTTGATGCAGATCATTTTTAATTTTTTGTGGAAGCGAGTATTCTCTTGAACTCTTCCTAGTAGGCTAGTGTGCACAATTTTGGGTAAAAATGTGTCTTGAGAATAAGTTAAGACTGATTTAACAAAAATAACACATTTTTTATTTCCTTTATCACGGAAAAAATAATACTAACAAATCAATTTTCCATTTATGATAGAAAATGGTATCAAATTGCTTGGCACCAACTACTTGCAAAGACATAATAAAAAAAGAGGTACCGTTGATTAGATGAATTTGACTCAAATATTATAAATAGACAAGTTTAGGACATGAAGGATTCACCGAGATGTGTAAACAGAGTACAATACACATTAATAATATGAAATTTTTTAGTCACTGGGAATTTATTTATCTTTTGTTTTCTTCATTTTGCACATCTCCGAGTCATATTCGAAAAACGACATAGCCGCGATGGAGATCCCATTTCACGGGTTTCCTTTTTCGAATACACCACTTTATGGACACGGTATCACGCCCTTTAAACAGTAGACAAGGTACGAGTTCATACACCCTGATACATATTCTCCCTTTAAAGTTTTACATAGAATGCGATTTGTGCAGTAAGCAATACTAAAAGTAACTCCTAACCAACCAATATAGTAACGGTTTCTATGAGAGACGGAAGTTTGAATTAATGCATCGAAAAAAGTTAATATCTTGGTTGGAAGTTACCTTTAGAAACTTTTGTTTGTACGAATCGTGTTCTACAATGAGAACACATGTATCTTAATGTTTGAACGAAAAGAAAAAACACTAAGAAATGGCCCGAATTGTAAGTAACAAGGTGGTGAAATGATGCTGGGTCCACATCGTTTCAGGGGGAAAACAAAGCCAAGAAATTCCAAAAATTTCAATTACAGTCAAAACTCTCCAACTGTGGAATTTCTTGGCTTCGTTTTCCCCCCAAAATGATAAGGACCCAGCATCACTTTAACACCTTGTTAATGCTTAAATAGACACCTTGTCTAGTGGTTTATTATCGATGTAGGAAATTCTTCTTTAGGCAGGAAAAGTGAGACAAAGAGAAACTTTGTTTCATGAACACAATAACAATAAACAAAACAATACGTACAAATGCAGCAGTTAAAAATAATTCTTGAAAATTCGACTGGTAGATCTCACCCAGAGAGGAGAGCGCCTTGAAGGTGAATCCGCAACTTCTCTTGTGAAAGGCAGACCTGACTGGTACAAACGGTCCCTTTCTTGTGCCAAAACTTCTCGTAGTTTTGAATTAGTGGTGACAATGGCTACCTGCATTTCCAAGTCTTTCGTTACTGATCGAGAACCTGAAAAATGTAATCGGCACATCAAAACAAGCAACTAAACACATATTAAACATATGTTTCCCAAGAACTGGTTCTGTTTTTGACAGAAGATTAGTGACATATGAAAGCACATTCCAGTTATTTACTTCAGGAATTATTATTTTGGAAACCACACAAAGGTGCTCACACTATTTGAAAGTAGAATTCATTGTTAAATTTAACTAATTTTGTATGGACATACAATAACTTGAGATAATTTTCAGAAAATTTTTGCTTGAATTGAGTGTTTCCCAGTGAATATGTTTAACTCCTCAACTGAAAAACAAATTGTGAATTACAGATATTGTATGTCAATTCACAGAGGAAAAACCGATTTATGCATAAATGAGAGTAGGGCTGTGCGAATAGTGAATTTACCAAACAAAGCGAATAGCGAATAATTTCGGCAACTATTTGCGAATAGCGAAGCAAATAACGAATAATTTAAGTCAATTATTCACAGCTATGAATAGTGAAACGAATGATCGGAAATGATTTTTTAAGTGTGAAACTTCGCGAATATTACAAAAGTCGACAAGAAAAATGTGACTAATTTTTAAGAATTTTCCATTTGCTCATACGCCTGCACAGAAAGCAATGAAATGCTATAATAGTAGCCTAGGCTGTTAAGAATTTGTTCGAAGATCCCTGGATGCTGGCTTGACTGTCCCTGCAGTTACGTATGCATTTCCAGGATTTGAAGGTAACTGCACGAGCAGTCAAGCTAGTATTGAAGGATCACTAGACACATTTTAGTATTTTATTTTTTTCGCTTTAAATGAAAATGTGTTTATGAACTTTCTTTTTCAATTTCAGAAATTTCTGTGTCTTTCAATCCTTGATTTGGGCTCTTTGCTTATTCCCCCAATCGCAATCGCGCTCGCTGTTCGTAAACTCGGCAAAGTCGGTAAAGATCAAAGGAGATCCGACGTTCGCGATGTCTCGGGTGGAAGCGGAGGCCTTGCGCAGGTCTTCGCAACGTTTCACGATTGCCACTCGGAAATTCGTTATTTTTGATGGCGCGAATATTTGAAAATTCATTCCTCGTGACGGCGCGAATATTTGAAAATGTCAGTTCAAAAATTCACTATTCGCGACAGCGCGATTATTCGCAATTTGCGAATAGTGCGCGAGACAGACGAAGCGAATATTCGCGGCGCGAATAGTCGGAATTGCGAATATTCGCACAGCCTTAAATGAGAGACATTTCATGAAAGAAAGCTGAGAATTACCAAAATTAGATGATCCAATAAGCGTTAAATGTGGGGTGGATTCCTGCGGCAGTGTATACCAAAGACCTTTGGAGTGGAACGTCCAGCCTGACCTCAGAAATTCAAAAATTTGAATGCGGTTGGTTGCTTGATGCCTCTCAATATTATGTAAAAAATTACTGGCCAGGGTTGTGTAAGCATATGGGACTCCACCTGCTACTCCGGCTGCATTCAGAAATCCATTTGCCTAGTAATTCACCAAAGATCACAATAAATTTTGTAATTTTGTTTATTGAAATGGAAATATGAAGCACAAAGAAACCTTAAATAAAGGATGTTTACAGCAGAAAAAATAAAGAAAACCAAATAAGATATTTAATCTAAACATTTTGAAACATTCCTGCAGCCTATATTTCCTTTCTTCCTGAATTTTCTTCAGACTTCTCATGAAAAAGGGACCTAAATACTAGAGAGAATTTTTTTTCAAATTGAGTAAAAATATCAATATTTGAGTTTTCAAAGAGAAACTTTCTTTGGTATTCCAAAGAATAATTTACGAGCAGTTTACATAGTTAATTTTGGTGCTTGTACGAATGCACATAGCATAAATTGTCATCGCAATTTATTTCTATCATTGTTCCAAGACAACCTACCACAGTTGAGGAATATTTTCACAAAACTGTAAACAACTGAGCTAAAATGAAATGATTCAGATAACTCATTCATAGTATTCCCCCGGATAAGGTTGTTTTACATCATGCATGTCGGGCTGATAATGTTGTTACTTACTCTTCGGACCAAGATTTTTCGGGACATTAGTAAAAAATTTTAAAAAAATAAATAAAATAAAAAATGTGTGTAATTACTTGATGTGCGAATCTGGGAGGTTACTGGAAAATTAAGTTTCTCTATGATAGATCTCAAGTTCTAAAGATAAAAGGGTTTCATGTTCTTCATTTACACATTTCTTAAAAGTAAATCTGAAATATTTTCAAGGACTTGAAAATCAGAAAACAAAATTCTAGTGTAATGGAAGACTTTGCAAGACTGCACCAAGTGCACCAAGCATTGGGAATGCTTACAATTGCAAATAGCTAGCTGCTAATTCAAAACATAAGACAACCTGATTATCTAAAAATTTGGCAAAAAGTTCCGTTATATGTCTCGCACCACCCAACTTTAGATTCTCTCTGACATGCTGATGAAGGTCTGCAACTCATAAAAATATGGACAAGATCTATCTTCATGCTCTTCAAATAGATTACTTGAAACTTATAAAGATGTCCAAACCTGATGAATACATTTTTCTAGTAACAGATGTTAAAAACCACGAAGACAGCAACTTACTGTTGGATGAGCCATGAGGATTTTGACTGCTGCTTTGGACTGATTTACCAACGAGTCCACATACTCATTGGTAAGATTAAAATATCCTGTTGCCAAATGAATCTCTGCGCCAGCGGGTGCCATGTCTAATAAGTGCTTCGTGACAACACTGTCATGATGGATATCGAAAGGTGGCATCTCCAATAGGGGAAATATGACCGTATCATTCTCTATAAAATTAGGAAAGAGAAATTGCTCCGTAAAATCAGGAAAGTTAGGTGATATAGAATAAATATTTAACCACCTAAACCCGATGAAAGTTTAGACAGGTGATGAAAAATTTAAACGAATGATAAAAAGATGATAAGTCTGTGACAAAATTTTGCTTTCCACTCTGACACCCTACATTTAGTTCAAATTTGTCATTTTTACTTCCTCTCTTTTTTTTGATGGTATTCTTCCACCCTAAAATGTAGGTGTAATCACTTTCTATTTTTTCAATAACTCGAGATTTCCCCCAATAGAATGATTTATTAGCTGTGTCATGGTTCAATTGTAAACAAACATGCAACCTTGTCTCTGATTCGCGCCCTCTGTGCCATGATGGTAAGATGCGTCTAAGTAATTGTTTCTTGTAATCAAAATTTCTCTTGCTTAATGATTCATTAATTGATTTATGAACTGTCAATGATTGAATTGTAATAAATTGACACAAATGACTCACACAGATTTGTACATGACGTTATCTTATTTGTTTTGGTCTGAACCACTGAGTTTGATATTATATCAAATGACGTAGATCACGTAATGTACGTAGTCACTAAATCAGCCTATTTTTTAACCTGATGGATGCAGCTCATAAAATTCCTGTTAGACCACATCTGAGCTTTGGGATGAGTCAATTTAATAGTACCTGTAGAGGAAAAATAATCATTAAGTTGGGGACATTTTGTTCTTTCCATTAGAGCAAACCTGAAAAAATCAAAGGAGTTCTTTTTCTCAAAGTTGGTAGATACCTTGAAAAGCTATTGCTGAGCTTTGCTGTGGTTCTTTACTGTCATTAAAGTGATCAAGTCATCTTTAAAAGTACAGCAAAATTTTGACTCATAAAAAAATGTAAAGTATTTGTTACAACTAGGTACATACCTGATTCCTCTTCAGCAGGTGTACCTTCTGACTGCATAGAATTGACAAAATAGTTCCAGATGAGATCGTGTCCAGCTTTGACATATTCCTCTTTGCTATCGTTGAAGGGATGGAATTTCGATTTCTCGGGAAGGGAGACATTGTTGTCTTGGTCCAGTTGAAATGAGATCTGACTCACACACTCAACCAAACCAGCAAGGAAATCAGCCAATGGTTTGCAATTTAAGATGAGTATGTAACGATCTTGTCGGTTTGTAAAATAATCATGACTTAAATTTGCTCTGCATGAAGAAAAGAAAAAGAAAAAATTAGAGAGTAGCACAAAGATCCTCAGAAAATCTTGCAAAATTTAAATAATAATTTGTAAATGTTTGGCTGGAAATAGCCTGAGCATAAGTATTTTAAAACCGAATGTAAATGATGAATAAACCTATTTAAGTATAGTGCGCGAATATTCCTGATACAATATACACAACATTTTGGATATATTAGAGCTGTTGCGTGATGCTTAAATTGCCCTGATACTAAGCACTCTCTGAGTAAAATTGGGCAAAAAACCCATTTCCAAGATTGAGGGAGCTCTAAAAAGCTCTCTCCATATTAGGGGAATTGTTTTGAAATTTGAGCACAAAATAGAATAATCCTGATTGGTTATGTGCTTAAGATGATGTTAGTGGTAGTAACATAACTTTCATGTAAGGAAATTATCGCTCCTTTAGAAATATGTAAAAATATTATGGTGGGTTTTTCATTCCATGAAGTATAATTTATTTATCAATATCAGTATGCTGAGGGTATTTAGAGACACTACAAAAAAGGAGTGAGCAGGGATCTTCATGGCAATAACTTTTGAGGACTTGGAACCACTTCAGAACATCAAGAACTAGACAACAAAAGAGTGAACTTACACAGAGATCATAGTTCCAATGAGCCTCCGCAAAACGAAAGACATTCAATTTTCAATTCTACATGGGATTGGATTAAATGCAATTTTGGGAGTTGATTTCTCAGTGGAAATTTAACATATAAAAGCAGAACTGCACGTGTCTCCTTACTTTTTTGTGATCTCAGAAAATGAAATCAATGTAAAGCAACAATAGTGTATTGTGAAAAAGTGATAATAGAAACGGCTCAATTATGTACATCATGCTATTTGCTTAAATGGAGGTTAAAAGTCCAACTTAAAACTTAAGAAGAAATTTTTTAAAACTAAGGAAGAAATTATACCCAGTGATGAGGACGCTATCGTCAAAAATGTAAAACTTCATGTGCTGAAGTCCAAGCAATTCATTGAATCGAGCTGGCAGGATTTGTTTGAGTGGACCTCGTAAATTAGGTGAGTGAAACAGAGACACCTGAACACAAAGCAAAAAAATGATTTCCAGTATTTTAAGTACAAATTTTGGAATATTAGTGAAAGCCTCTACGTTATCATTGCCTCTGAGAGCTTTCCATGAAGGAATAACAGAAAATAATACGGGTTATGGGGAATAATCATCTGGTAAACAGTCAGAGTCGGAAAACTTGGTTCATAACAGTGTATTTATCTGTAAAATTATTGGAGTAAAACTTAGTAGAAGTTTAATAAGATACGAGGGGCGTTCGTAAAGTAAGTATATATCTTTATTTTCTCCAGAACTAATGAAGATAAATTAAAACGGTAAAAAGTGTTTTAACCGTCATACTCTCAGCTTTTTAAAAAGCCTTCGTTTTTTAAATTTGGTTCACCCGTTCGCGAGTGATTTCATTTTTCCCGCGCCCATCTCTCGTCACCGCTTGTCCAAAATATTCGAGCGCGGCGGAGCTCCTCAGACGAGTACATGTTTTGGCTCCGGGATTTTGGGTCGCTCAAGGAATATTGCTGATCGATTTCTTAGGAAGAGGAAAAACGATCGATGCCGCAAAATATTGTGAAGTTTTGAAAAAACTTAATTCAGCGATCAAGCGAAAACGGCCCGATCTTTTGTCTCGTAAAGTTTTGTTCCTTCAAGACAACGCTAGGCCTCATGTGGCTTATGTGACTAGAGACTTGTTCGCCTCATTCAAATGGGACCTTTTTCCTCATCCATCGTACTCACCGAACCTTGCTCCATGCGATTTTCATCTTTTTCCTGCGTTAAAGAAGAGCTTGGATAGCCGAAAGTTCTCCACCGACGCAGAGTTGCAAGAAGCTGTAAAAAAAATGGTTCCAACGACAGGATATGCGCAATTTTTTGAAGATTGAATCCACAAACTGCTAACATATAATCAGAAATGTGTTCAACTGGGTGGAGATCATGTCGAAAAGCAAGGTAAGACAATTCAAAGCCTAAAAGTTTCACATATTTATCTAATTAATGGTGTTACAACCTTTTTTAAAGTGAAAACGTGCGTACTCACTCGTCTGAGGAACTCCGCCGCGTTTGAATATTTTGGACACGCGGTGACGAGAGATGGGCGCGGGAAAAATGACGTCACTCGCGAATGGGTGAACCAAATTTAAAAAACGAAGGCTTTTTGAAAAGCTGAGAGTATGACGGTTAAAACACTTTTTACCGTTTTAATTTATCTTCATTAGTTTCGGAGAAAATAAAGATATATACTTACTTTACGAACGCCCCTCGTAGAAGTGCAATGTCATACAGTCTTTAATCATTCGACTCATAAGCTCTTCAAGGACTCATGGGATGTTCAAAAAATCTCATGATTTCGTGTCCTTAAGTGCAAGTAAGTACACAGGAATTTTTTTAGAGGTAAGTGTGGCAAATTACTGATTTTATCGAAAAATTTTCCTGAGAGAAAAAAAAATCTTAAACATGCAAGACAGATGCCCCGATATTCTGTTTTCTAAAATTAGACAAAAAACAATATATAAAGTAAAATAAAAATTCTGAGTCATAGTGATTCTTACCTGACAATTTTTTTGGTAAAGTAGCAGAGGTAGTAATATGTGCCTAGAATTTTTTTCGCCCCGGGATCCTCGGTTAGCATCCAATAAAATTGAAACTTGCAGATTAGAACTGGTGTTTTTCAGGCGGGACTCGATGACTGACACCTAAATAGTACAGAAATCAAACAAGGTACTTGTAAAAGGAAAAAGAAGTACCTCTGCAGAAGAAATACAGTAAAATCGGCACCAGAAAACAAAAGAGTTCAAGCAAGTCACGGTTACATTAAGAAAGTTGCCTTAACAACAAAACTGGAACTAAAAATTTGTGTCAATTTTGTTATTTGTTGTTGGTTTTCAGGTTACTTACAGGCAATCTAGCCTTGTTAAAACTAATGATAAAATTTTCATGTTTAAGTCTTGGATAAGCTGCACCATCCATGGTTGCACTTAGAAAACAGCTAAGTACTTTCCAGAATTTTCCAAGGCTTCAGGGGATGCAACATGGCATCAAATGGTAAAGTGCCTGTTTCTAGAACTTTCTAAAACTCTCTTAAGTTATCGCCATGTGATACTTAAATTAATTGAAGCCCTCTCGAAATTCTCTCCAGATCTTCCTAGGATTATTTATGACTTTTGGTAGTGTCACCAGACAATGGTGGTGGCTGTTTCTATAACTTTCTAAAACTTCTTGGGGTTTACTCCAAGTGTTGGTGAAAGGAACATGGTTTGCAAAGCAAGCTACGATCAACTGCTGAGCAAGGTATAGGGGTATAGGAGGCAAAGCACATCCTCCTCTATTAGTTTAAAATAAACTTAAGTTGACACTCACCAATTTTTCTTCCTTGGATCCACAACCAAGATACAATGATGAGAATATGATACGATTTTGGGAGGTGCTACAGCGCTCCAGAAGTTCATTATAGAAATCTTTCGGCTCATGCAAAACAGCAATCTAGACAGAATTAAGACAAAGATTAACAATATTAGTCTTGCAGGAATCTGAACTTAAATAGTGTACCTAAAGAGCTTTATTCACTCATCACTTAACTCGACATCCCTAAACAATTGTAATGATACCTGAATTGAATTTGCTTACCTGATCACCTTTAATTTTAAAATTGGGAGCAGAGCTGTACAACCAGTTGAAAGGAGTGGGAACGATAGTTTTGTCGGTGTTCTCAAATAAGTTGTCCAGAAGCTTGAAGGAGGCACTTAAGCGCTTCATGAAAGCGATGCAGAATATTAAGTCTCAACTTTTCACTGAATATATATACTCCTCAAAGTAATGACAATTTACTACTATACTGTAGAAAAATAAAAGACACAGAATTAATTTAACCCTGACACGCTCACTTGAAAAGTGATCAGAGAAAATACCAGAAAAATGTGGGGAAATAAAAGGTTATGTTTACAATGACTGAACAGGAGCTATTCAAAGAAGGAAAACTACGAATGACAGTTTTGATGCAGTTCGTTGGAAATAAATAGAGAAATTAAAGCTATCAGCCAATTAAAATAACGCTACAGCACGGCGCTGATGCAACTTCACGCTCTGCATGACACAACTTGGTCACAGTCTCACGTATGATTCGTTGTTTTCAGCTGTGACGTCAAAATAAGGATTTGTTATCAGTTATCACCTCCTGCTTTTATCTGTCAATGTTTTGTTTACATAGTTTTGTTGAAGTAAGAAGAGAAGTTAGGTAGGAGTGTTGTTTTCAAACATAAAGTGGCAAAGAATAGAATATATCTTCAAAATTTGTGAGATATTCGGCATTTTCGTTTTCTTTTCTGTTGCACTTATTTTTTAATTAATCTTTGTAGCCGTTTGCTTCATCGCTGAAACCATGAGAACTGACAGTCAAACTCAGGGTCTACAGTCTCTCTGACTGTCCAGGAAATAATGTAAGTAAGCGATGATTCCTTCCTCTGTACTGAAAATTTTATTCTAAGCTATACTTAAGCCTATGCCGAATAAGTAGAGCAGCTTTCTAACTTGTTGCGTCATATTTGCTGCATTGATTTTACCTTGCTGAAAAGAGGATGTCAGGTCTTCTCTTACTCACCAAAAGTCTGCGGAACTATTGAGGCATGAATCCTAAGAACCATAAAAACACTTAACATCAAGCACTTCCTAGTGCAGGAAAAGCATAGAGCACATAGAGTTGTAATATAACGAAGTGAGCTGGGATCATGATCTGGTTGACGAGTTCTGAGCCCAGTGCGCGGCAAGATTTGGTCACTTTTTTCATACATTTTGATCTTAAACAGCGATGTACAATATGTAATTATTCATGACCCTTTTGTTTAAATTTGATGGCTGGATACCAGTGTATCAAGGACAATCAATAGTTTATCGAAATGGTGACCCGGCACCGTACAAGAGTCATTGAATTTGGCGACTGGAAAATGCTTTAAAGTAATGCCAGCTCCTCCAGTCCTATCACGACTCTACGTAGTGAAAAGGATTAACACGTACCTCACTCTTCAGCTCTCAGTTATGAACAAAACCAAACCTATCCATGAGCGTCTTTCGGAGGTTTGACCTACCGGTATATTAGGATCAAATAGTACTGGTGCACTGCTGTGATCACTTTTAAAGGCTATGTTGTTGAGAATTCTAGAGACAAGTGTGCTACAACTGGCAATAGTGAATGCGTCGACACAAGTTCCCAGCTCTCTGCTCTGCTTTCCAGGGGTCCTTAATTTTAAGCACAAGCATTGTTCAGTTTTCAGCTAATGTTGAAGAATTGACCTCAGCAGTGCATCATTACTGTTTTGACTCTCATATACCTACTTACTCTAGGGGCTTGACATGGTCAAATCATCGTTTGTATTCTCAAAGTATATAACTTCTCCCCGAGGGGATGTGTATTTAACTACCAAGGCAATTTAGTATGTGACTGCTATCTATGCCAAATAAATTTAAATTTTTTTAGACTATACTAAAATATATGCCTCTGTCAGTTGAAAGTATATCCAAGTCCTGAAATGTTCTCCTCATTGATTTTTCTCCTTTTTTTCCAGTCATGTGAGCCTTGGGATTCATGGATAATAATGGAAGCAATTCAGGAGACATCAAAACCCGGTCTTTTCCATCGCAAAATTTAGTGAACAAGCTAATTAATCGTGAAATTTATGGAGCAAAGAAGCCTGGCACTCATTTCCATGTATCAAGATCCTTCTATCAAAATGTCTTCCCAAATTTAACAGTCATAAATGTGGGAACACCCCCCTGTTTCCTCAGGAAGTTTTGTCCTCTGGGCAAATATTTTGTTGCGTTTTCCTCCGATCAGAAAAGCTTAGAAATTTATTCGTATCGGGGCCCAGCCGCAGCAGCCGATCTAATTCAGCTCTTTAGGACTGAATATGTTGGCTTGCACAACAATGATGTGAATCAAAATTTGAAAATGCAAATTTTCGACAGATTTTTCCGGCTTAAGCACTATGTTTTTGTTGTCGAAGGAGCTGGACAGTTGAACCGTGAATGTAGTCTGTTCACAGGAGATGGAAAATATGTTATCATTGGATCGGCTCATTTCATATCAAATGAAACTCCCTATCATTTTTTTGACATCTATACCAACAATGAAGCTGTTACACCAAATCCTAGATCCCCTCTTGAGGATTATGCCATACACATCGTAGACCTTGAGAAAGGGGAGCTTACAGACTCAATTGAGTTTAAAGCTGATAAAATTTTTCTATCCCATAACCAAGGAATTTACTTGTTCAAGGATATTTTAGCAATTTTGTCTGTGCAGCATCAGACTATTCACATTTACCAGATTTTAGATGGAAAATTCGTGGAAGTTAAGCAAATCGGAAGGTTCCTCTATGATGATGACGAGTTCATTGTTTCTCGGTCATTCAACCACTTCAACGCTCCTAATTTCAGGGCAATCCGAGATTCGTGCCTTAGCCTTCTCAAGCAAAGAATTCTCTCATTCATGTTCCGAAGAGCTCTGAAGCTTTCAGAGACTGAAAATAATCCTGCTGTTCTTAGGAAATTCTTCTTTTTTTACGGAGAAGTAAGTGTTATTTCATGAGTTTTTTGCTCTTAAAAACAAATTGATGGTTAAACAGTGTTCATAAGGCTGTGGAAGAATCAACAAGAGAAGTCATTGAGAATATCAAGAGAGAAAGAAATTTTCAAGCTTTTTTACAAAGGCAGTTTTAGATTTTCACTGTTTCTAACTAAATATTTCATCCATTTTAAAATGATACAGATTTTAACTGAAAAGTAATTATTTTGTCATAGAAAATTTTATTGGATTTGTATGCAAATTTTATTCTATATCACAAGAAAGAAGAAGAGTATTTAGGTCCATAAAATTATGGAAATATGATACTTGAAAGTGCAGGATAACCTGATTTCTTAAGAGGCAGACAAAAATCAAATGAGTGTCCTGCTACGAGTGATTGTAGAATGTATGAAAACATTTTCCAAGATTTCTGTGAATCCAATTAAGCTAAATATCCAAATCAGTTTATTAGACTCAAGTGCTCCTTGAAAATAATTTTTGTTATCAACAGTAGCAGTAAGAGTAAAATAGTACATGTATTTATTTGCTGTCTTATCATGTTTGTGAAGTACATATGTGTATTGTGCTACTTTCTGATCCAGGTATTAAAGTTACGCTTATGGAAAATGCAGTTGATTGACGAAGAGCATCTGTTAATTAAGTTTGCATCTGAAGAAGTAGTCACATTACTAGCGGCTGAACCTAACTCCATGCCTGCCTTTTTTGTCATCTATAACTTGAAAACAACTGAGGTAATTTAAGTATTTTTGCCTTAAGCATATCTCTATTTATCAAGCTCTTTGAGAGGGTTGTATCATGGAAAAACCTGCAATTCTGAAAAGAATTGTACAGTTTCCCATGACTGGAGGAGTTTTGTTCAAATGAAAAACCGATTAAAAGAAAGAAAATGTGCAAAATATTTCACTAAAAGTGCCTTTGTACACGTAAATGGTGCAGCTTTATTTAAGGATTAATTTAAAATTATAAAAAACCAAGAAATCGATGAAAATTCAGCTCATTTATACTGTACTTATCTAAATATTGAATGCCTTTCGACATCTTTAACATCATCCTCAGCTGCGACTTTATTGTGTGAAGTTTAATGTATAGTACAAGTTAGTGGAATTCTTTCAAGTCAGGTTCTTTCATTATTTGAAGATTTGGAGTAGTATACTATTCTGATTCAAGGACTAAGTCTGATCATCCACCTCATGAGTGCTGTGATTGTGCGGTGCCATAACTATCCAATGCAATTTTTTTTTTATCAATACGCAAACGGCTGAGGTGTATCGTAGAATTAACTTTTTGGTCCCCGATCATGAAAGTTTTATACTTGATTTTCAATTCTTGTCTCTTCCTTACTTATATCATCGAAGAAAAATGACCAAGAATTGACGTTAAAATATTTCTGCTTTCAAAGAAGTTCATAAATGTTTCATGTGCAAGAATTCATTGAAAATCGAGTTTATCAGTCTCAAAAACGCATTTACAAAGAGTTTTTTTTAGTGAATGTAAATGAGTTGATTTTTTATCATTGCACGGTCTAGGTTCAAACATTCTGTGTAAAATATCATGAAAAATAAAGGACAATGAACACCTTCTTTTTTTTGCCCATTCATTCTGTTTAATAATCTTGTTTCAGATTATCGAAATTTTTGACAACACATCTGATGAATTAGTACATATTCTAGAAACATTTCCAGATTTTTTTAGGAATGCCAAACTGAGGGAAGAGGCACAATTCACATGTTCTGCAGCTAACAGTCTCTATGCTCGGTGAGTTCATAAAATTTTAATGTCTGATGACAGAAAAGAGGGGAGGGGAACTTATACTTTGACCATATGAAATTGTGAGAAACCTTTGCTCTTATAAATTACTAAAACGCATTTTGCTGTTGTAGGACAAACATACTTTAAATTTCTGAGTGTACATTTTTTTTTTTGGAAAAACAACGTTGAGGCATATCGAATGCCCTGTTTCTTTGAAAAAATTAAATGAAGGCAAAAATTGTCTACCAAGACACAGGTGTGCATGGAAACTTCATTATACTTGTAATTTGTGATTTTTCCAAAAAGTTGTTTGTATCCGTTTCAAAATAGAATCAGAACAAAAACACACCAACTCGAAAAAATGAAAATAATTAAGACGCACTCAAAACTGCTTAGTAGGTGAAGAAGTTAGTCTGAGAAAATGATTTTTGGTGCCAAAAGACAAGTACTTCAGGACACTTTAAAAGTCCAGGTTGGAGCAGATGCGCTAACACCAAAGACCTTTATGAAAATTAACTGTCTCAAATGATAATTAAGCATTTTCAAGTTACCGAGTTGGTGGGTTTTTGTTCTCACTGATTCAATTGTAGGTTTTTGTGAGAGAAGTTGGCTAGTTCTTGCAATGACTTCTCCAAAGCTGAATATTTTGAATGTTTTTGACAAAACCTAAAATGTCGAAGAAAGGCCAAAAATCCTCTAACTTACTTCACATTTCTTTTCTGAATAATTCATTTTCTCCCATCAAATATCAAAAACATTTTGGAACTGAGGGACTCCATAAAATCAATGAGAAACTGCAAAACTTTCCTAATCTTGAATAGCTAATATAAGATCTTTTTTCAAGAAAAGTATTTACTGTCCTCTTGCAGGGATGAAACATGCTGGAATATCTATTGGTTTTCAATTGGGACGTATTTTTTATATTTTTGCAAAAACCCGTAAAAATAAGAGCCAATAAGAGAAACTAGTCCCAGTAACTTTATTACTACACCCTTATTGATTGTTACTCGTCTTAAGTGATATGGCAATTGAATATCAGGAAACAGACAAAATCTTTGGATATTAGAAATCTTTAGAAAATGATTTCAACAGTATTGTTTCTTTTTTACTTCTCAGGTTGCAGCAAGAAAGGTTTAAAGAGACCATAGAAAATGCAAGGTATGGTGGCAAAATTGAAGCGGTGAGAAGAATTTTGGCGCAGCTTCCGATTAGTGCTCAGTCATATAGCAGTTCACCTTACTTAGATTTATCACTATTTAGCCATGATGACAAGTGGATTTCTGTGCTGGAACGTCCTAAAGGATGTGGGGAATATCCCTTAAGGTACACTTTCTTCCTCTTTTTCAGTTCTTGAAGTCTAGGCTTTTATTGCTTATGTAAGGTGCTCATTCAAAATTGTTAAAATCCCTCTCCCTGAATGTCTATCAATATTTATTATGTTTTTCCTCAGTACAGAGCTCATTTTTTTCTAATCTCAAGCCTATCTTAGCAATTTAGATTTTTCTCTATGATGTGAAAAGATTTTTAAGCCTGAAAATGCAGCAGCTCCCAAAAAAGTTCTTTATCAAGTGAGAACAGAGACTCTTTCAGATATATGATGAATGGGTTTGTAATGAAAAATTTTGGAAAAGTACCTGCTCTTAATTAAATTTTGACATAACAGATAGCAAGTGTATTTGAATTAAAATATTAAGAATCACACGAAACTCAATACTCTACGCCAGTCCAATCGTGTACTACAAGGGTTTCGGCAGGCTTCTCAATCAAACATTGTTCATTCGCCACCTTGCGTTGTTCAAACTATTAACAACTTGCCACAGCTGAGCCAAAGTGTCAAGATTGAGGTTGTTAGATTATCATATCGCAGAGAGCGTCATGGTAATGTTTTGTGTGCGATTTGACTCACGTAGATCATTGAGTTTTCATGAGCAGGAGGTTTGAATTTACGCGTGGAAAAACATTAAATATATTGATTAGGAGTTAATTTCAGTAATTTTTGTTCCGCAAATCGTGAGTCACATTAAATTTTGGTTAAGAAACATGTATCAGAATGCTTAACTTCGTACCTTGTCTAGTGGTCCATTACAAGTTTATTCCCAAAGTAGCTCAATACACTACCTTCATTAGAAAACAAAAAGCTGTTGCTGGTGGATACTCTGAGTGTGATTTCTTAGGACTCGGAAGTTTTTCTTCACAGCTTTGTGAAATTGAGGTGCCACTGTGCGTTACATGCATCAGGCTAATTAAGAATGTCATTGATATTAGCAAAATTTAGATCATTTTAATTTCTCCTTAACTCTGAGACCTGGAATGTGAAAGAAAAGTGGCAGAACGCTCATTAAATCTGTTTTCCAAATGTGGAAAAAAAGAAATAAAAATCATGCTGGTGCTCATCATCATTTTTATTCATATATTTATTTGTTTCTGCAGGTTTTATGCACGGGATTCAGGCTTACTGAAATTCAGAATTTACTCTGGATTTGGCGCTTTAGAAACAAGACCTCCTCCATCAGCAAGACGATTAGTTGCATATACTTTTCATCCTACCGACCCTTTTGCGATCAGTGTTCAGCGCACCAACTCAGATTACATTGTGAATTTTCACCTTCGATTAGACGACACCAGGCAGTTTCTTTAATTCACTGTACTTAAAACACGTACCTGAGTTGATGTTCCTGTTAAAATGTTCAATTTTCACTGAGATATTGAATGAGGTTCATTAGTTACAAAAAGGGAAACAAAAACAGCGCAGAGCGTTTGGATTTTTAGGTTTTTTTTTGCTGAAAATATGGTAGGCCTGTAATGTCAAGAAAATGCCAAGCATCATTGATTTTGGTCAAAGACATAGAGTGCCTTTTTTACACCTTTTTAACAGTTTTTATCAATAAAAGAGATCTGTAGATTACAAATCACGCTATCAGGAATTTCTTTTTCCTGGTTGTGCGTACGTTCTCAAAGAATTAGTTTAAAATTTTCAAGGTTCACAGAGAACCTGTGCAGAACAATTTTTCCCTCTGAGTTGTTTTGTTTTTCAAAGAATTAGTATTTTTCATGTGTTTGATACAGAATATTTTTTCGACTAGTGGATCGCTATGTTCTACAGATTATTTTTTGTGCCATGATCTCATCTAGAATTTGTTGTTAAGTAGTTTTAATACACTGTTTATCCTAACACATCCATTTTATTTTTTATTAATTTTTCTTTTTTTTGTATTACTGCTAGTTATGAATTAGAGGTCTTTTAAAATCACTTATTTTTCAGTTTTCTTTTTGAAAATTGGATTGTGTAGAGCCTTGATGCATTTATAGAATCTTTCCTTCAGATTATGGATCTGGATTTCTGGTATAAATACGCACTGTTCTGTTAAATCTTTTTTATCAAATCATTTTATATCTTTATATATTGAATGCTGTACATAATGTGAAAACATCTAAAGTATTCAGGGGACATGAATGATTATAATTGCCAAATTGGTCCTTTTCAAGCATCTCTGAACTTTAACATTTCATGAGGGATCAAGGTGATTTCAAAAGGTTCTTAAGAAACTCACTATCATTACTATCCTAAATGAAATAATTGGCATCCGAACATTTCTGTTTGATAATTACTCAAGGAAATTACATAGTTGAAAACTTTTAAAAACTGGTAAAAGAATTATCAGTTTTCCATTTGTCACTTTGAAAGGTAATACAAAGAAATAAAAAATTTTAGAGGTTCTTAATATGCGATGAAAAGAAAACAAATTAAATATATTTGTAATACTTTTAATGTAGCAATTTGCGATCCTTTACAAACCCTCTTGACCCAAGAGTATTAACAAAAGCGTATTTTTGAATTGTAAAAAAACAGCAGTAGAGGATGGTTTTAAACATTAAATAAATTTGTTAGCTGATCTATTTATACATTCATTTGTTTTTTTGGCTAAAACTCATTTTTTTGGTGAAACTGCCAGTAATCACTTATCTCAGTTGCAGTGTTCCAAGAGTTTTGTTCTAAGATTTTTTTTTCAAAAGACAACTAAGTAATATTTTTGCATGAAATATGTTCAAGAACATTTGCTTACTATTATCATGCAATCTTTTCAAATTTCTCTAAATAATTTTTCACAGATTAAAATATCTGTCATTTTTGCATTAAAATGAAATTTGGCAATTATATGTTGTCATGTTGCGAACTTTAGTTCATATGTTCCTGACTGACAAACATTTATAGGTACATTTTGTTCCTTTCTTGGAGATCTTTTATAAAAAAAAAATTTTGATCGACTAGAAGCAGTTTCCGGATGTTTCCACAATATTGCATCCTTCCCAGGAAATAGGACAAAGTGAGGGAAGATTAGAAACTAATTCCAAGGTTATTTTTTTTCTCAACTTTCCATTTTGCACCTCCTTCTCTCATCAAGTTGCAAAACGCAAGTTAAAAAGAGAGTGTCTGAGATCTATTTTGTTCTAGAGGCAATACATCAATGTGGAAAATAGTTCTAGGAATTATTATTCTCCCACCTCCTTTGGATTAGTTTTAGGATATGTTGTTTACTCATGTATCCCACTGTCTTTCAGTTAGGATTTGATAACAAATGAGACTTTTTGATTACAAAAAGAAATGCCTATCTCTATGTTTACGTTTTACAAGGTAGGACATGACAAGGTCGGGTTTCAAGTCTGTCAGTGCAGATGGGTGAGGATGGTTGCTCAATTGCACGAACTCTTTGCTGCACAGCTTGATCTCCACACGTAGCAGAACAGACAGACCACGCTGACCATTCTTTATACCTACATTCTGAAACAATGTCAAGAAAGCACAATTAGTCAGAAAACCCCATATAAGGCATATTTTAGGCAAACATTGGCAAGAATAAATGGACGCAAAAAATAGTAGCTGAGTAATTAACTTAAAGAAAAGATTAATAAAGAGTCGGATGCCTAGAATACTGTTGAAACTCTGCCATTGGTGTTTATTTTTCGGAGGGAAGCCCTTTGTTTGGACCATGTGTGTAGCCACTAGCCACTCTTGCAAAACTAAAAGTATTTTGCTTACTAATAAATGAATTGCCTCAATGAAAAAATAGGTACTCAAATACTTAATAGTCAACAAAACGTACATAATATTAAATTGAAGTATTTAGACAAATTTTCGGGAACAAAATTGAAACAATTTTAACATCTATTTTCTTAAAAATGTAAGCAAATTATATTCATCCAAGAAGTTCCAGACCTTCAGCTTTATTCAATCATGCAACTTTATCTATACTTTTTTTAACTTTAAAAATCAACAATCTTAGAAAGAAGATGCCCTCTACCATATAACGTCCTGGGCATGCACTTCCTCCCATCAACATTTCGCCAATGAGTCACTTTGAAAGTTTGAATGATCTTGTGAAATATACTATATGTGTGATGTAATTATCATCCGCAAGACGCAAATGGGCCTTGAGACAAGGTATGAATTTATGCACACTGCATGTTACATGTATTCTCTTCAAAATTGCACAAGGAAAATGAATCAGGCAACAGGAAGTTAATACAGATGAAAACACGCACAATGAAAGATGTAACAGCACGCGAGATGCGTTTTTCCAGTTATCAACAGGAAGTCTGAAAATCAACTCCTAAACAAAATATAAATGTTTTCTATTAAGATTGGTTAAAGGGCAAAAAATCAGATGACGTCATTTATATAATTGAACTTCCATTTGATCTGTGATTAAAAGACTTGTTAATATCTCGTTCAGGGGTTGATTTCAAAACTTCCCATTGTGTAAATTGTTTTCTACGTGAGATTTTGAAGAGAAAACTTGCTACGTTTTCTCCTAATTCAGACCTTGTCTCGTGGTCCATCACCCAAAAATCGTAACTTGATGGTGGCACTTGGAAATTACCCGCTCAATTATTCCAAAAAAAGTACCTACACATTTTTGGTCTGTTGTGAGGAAATCTGTAACAAAGGACTCAACTCTTTTCTAGAGGGATTTCAACTTCAATTTGAGGATTGGAATTCATACCTGTATCATCGGGATTGCTCTCATCTTCCCTTGACCCGGAGTTGTCACTAACTTTGTTAGTTCTTTTCCCATCTTGTCCTAAGGAAAAAATGTAGATAAATGAGAATGATTAATTATTTTGGTTAAATGAACAAAGCCAAGACCAACAACAATTTTGGATGAAACATCAGTGAGAATTCAAAGAACATACTAGTCTCCACGCATTAGGGACACTTAACGATGAAACAGTACTAAAGATTTCCTTAAGCCTTGGCAGTTTCTGTTAGCAGACTTTCGACTTTGTTTAATTGGGCAATGCGTTTTACCATATTCTTGGGTCCAGACAAAAAAGCTTCAAACTCTAAACATAGGTAAGTGGATAAGTACTTGCATCATCTGCAGTACTGTATTCCTGCGTTGTTCTTCAATTTACATTGTATGATTTCGTGTAGGTAGGTAGCTGAGAATTAAGACCCTATTAAGTAACCTTCCTAGAAGCCAGTATATTCAGACACTACTTAGTGAATTTGAGGGTTGAAATTTTTTCGCTTTGTACTTATTCTACCCTCAAGGGTTAATTTAAATACTTACAGTACCTAAATTTGTTTGACATTAAATTGTCTTGTAATCCCGTAAGTCTGTGAGATGTAACAGCCACCTGTGACGTGATCAATAGGAAATTAATTAAACTATACCTAAGTACCTACCTAGGTACATTAGATTGTTGACCGATATCTTCGGCCAGTCTGAACTTGAACACTTGAATAGTTATACCAATAACATACAGACACATTCTGCTCCTTAAATATTTGCTAAAATTTGAATGAAGATATTACAATCGAATCACCCTGGCTGAATACTTTACTCCTGATTCAACACATTTCAATTAATACAGGAATCATTAAAGGAGTCAATCACGTTTTGCTTACTTTCACTTTGTTTACAATAACAACAACGTGCCAATGAACATGATACATGATACGTGCTCGCGCGCATCACGTTTTGCGCATCCGATTTATGAATGAACCAGTTACAAAGGAACGGGCCAATGAGGAAGCGAGAATTCGGGTCATCGAACTCATCGTAGTACTACGCGTAGTATTTTGTAGTAAGTGTTGCCACATCGAATGAGCAAATGACGGTAATAGCTTTCTGGGCCGTGAAACATGATAATATACCAGAGATTTCAATCGGATTATCGCAATTTCTCATCTTATGCGTTCTGTTAAAACGAAAACGAACTAAAACTTTTAGAAATCTATTCTAGAGGTACTAGAGAGCGTTTTCCGTCGAATTATGAAGATTGGAGTGAAAGAGGGTTATACAAAATCGGCGATTTTGCCCCCCTCTTAGATTTTGCCCGGAGTTGGATATGTTGTTCCCTATCACATGACACGTCTTATTCCGGCGTTGGCAAGTTCACCCGAAATTTTTCCCGCGCGCTACAGCGTTGCCAAGTTGAAAACAGGCAAATTCCGTAAGTGGCATAAAAATTGAGCTATGAAGTCGCGGTTTTAACGAAAATTCTCTAAAAATTGCGCACTTTTAGGAAATGACCATGTTTTTAATGTCGCACTAATTTTAACATGCATTGTTGCCAATTTTTCGATTTTTTAATTCGACAAATTTTACAAATCCGCAAATACCAAAAAAAGCTTTCTTCAAATTTGAATAAAAATTTGTCTAATCGATAGTTCGTTTGATTCCGCATCTATCGATATATTATAGCTTGCAGGGAAACTTTTGATTCACGAGATATCATCATTTTTGTATACAGCTTTATGAAGCGACGACGCTCTTTGAGTCCGGGCGGATAGAAATTTTAGCCTCCAAAAACACAGGGTAGCATTAATTCCATGGTTTCCGGTGTAATTTTTGGCGCTGGATCCGAATTTGACCATTTCATGACAAAATTGTCACCGAGAAGTTGCCAAATTTGGCAAAAATGGCTTAAAATCTGCCTTTTTGGCGGATTATGGCCAGAGACTTGCCAGGAGTTGATCAGACGACAAAATTGGTTATTGCCACAGCTAAAACTCGTTGAACTTTCTACAAGCTGAGTCAAATTCTTTCTGCTCACGGCAAAATTAAACGCGCGACAAGCAGCAAAGTGAAAAAAAGACACCGAAATCGGCGCTTTTTGCGGTTTTTGTCCGAACGAACACAATATCGTCCCAGGAAAACGTCTAATCGGACGTATTTATACTAAAAGGAATTATGCTGCCGTGCTAAGGAAGACCGCCGTATGAGCCATCAGGCTTTGCCAAATTTCATTTGATAAAACACGAAATTCCTGGTAAACTTTTGATTATTTTTCCTCTAATTTTTTGGATAATTTTGTTCGCACTTTCACCTGAAGGTCCTGAAAATTTCAAGGTAAAATATTTATTACTTTCCTTAAAAACGAACGTTTTATCGAAGGAAAGTTGGCAACTCTCGAATGTTTCTAAGGCGTTCTTCCTTAGCACGGCAGTATGTTACATGCACATCCTATGCACATGTTTTCTTTTAACATAAATACGTCCAATTTCTGAGATGCGATCGCTCAAACTTGTTAAAAATCGTTTTTACGCATTCGAGAGTCATTCTGGAGGGTACGGAACACCCCCATCTACGGTGGTGGGTCCGGGGGAGGGAGCGGTCTCGGCAAATTTTAGTCTTAACCGAGCGGGAGCAGTGGCTTTAACTAATTGTTAGTTAGCCTTCTGTTTTTTGTGTAGGCAACACGAGCATTCGCGTGGCCGAATAATGGTGTCGCCCTCGGAAGTCACGATTCATCGAGGGAAAAAAGCGGGTATAGGCTTAATCAAGCACTAAGAGAAGGCTTTAATTTATTATCGGTTCCCCTTCAGTTTTCAGTATAGGCAATACGAGTTCACACGTGGAGGAATTGTCGTATCAGTCTCATGTCACGATTGTTCGAGGGAAAAGCGGGAGTAGACTTTACTGAGCGTGCTTAGGGAGAACGCCGCAGAAAATTTGAGAGTTGCCTAATTTCCTCGCATAAAACCTGTGTTTTTAGGGGAGTTATGCATATTTTTCTTTGATATTGTCAGCTATTTAAGATCAAATTGCAAAAAAAATTGTCCTAAAAATTTGAAGAAAAACAACAACAAATTTCCCAATAAATTCGTAATTTATCGAGGGGGATTCGGCAACGCCTGAAGGTTCCCATGGCACGGTTCCCTTTAGCACGGAAGTTTAAATAGTCAGTTTGCCTTCAGTTTCCAGTGTAGGCAACATGGCCTCTTAATAGTCACGCTTGTGCGCTCAATCAAACTCTTAAACAAAGTAGACAAGAGTCCGGTAATATGCACCGATTGGTAAAAGAGATTGATCGCTGTGCAGTACCCGAGAACCAAGAACCAGTTACTAAAACCGAACATCACAGGTATTATGGATCGCCGCACTGTTATTCTCATGACCTAAATATAAAACAGGGATCAGTATATGAAGGTAGTGAGAGAAAAATGGAAAAAAACTTACCGCATCTTTTAGCGCATAATTTTGTGCGGATTAATTTTTTGGGGCACGGTTTCCCGCCATTAGCTGGATACACCTGCAAAAAAAGAACAAATTAAATTACAATTTTTACACTTTTTAATGAAACCTTTCTTGTAAGGAAAATGTTAAATCCCTCGATCAAACAAGGATGCGCTTTTTTGGTAATAAAGGTGTTGGTAAAAATGATCTATAATAAATATCAAGGAGCGGATAGACAAGTATTTTGACTCTCCTTTAACGCTCAGATACTGCTTGCAGGTGTATAATTTGTTTCACAAGCTGCAGGTTTTTTAAGGGGACACTATTTTGCGAATAAATAATAATCGCAGCTTTTTTATTACAAAATACCCCTTAGGTAATTCACATTTTGATAGGGAAAAATATACCCATCGTCCTACCGTCACTCGCATTGCATACGAGGATCATCTACAAAATAAGTTCCCTCACTTTTAAAGCTTCGAAATTGAAAAGTTGAAGCAACAAAATCAATCAGTCATACTCATGCTTTCAGGTGTAAAAAAGCCTGATTTGTTTTCAATTCGCTTTGCGAATTGAGGAGAACTCATTTTTTCCAAGAGCATCTACTTATCGGCGCTATGTGCTCACGTTTGCGTCGCCAAAGAAAAACGTCGCATGAACCTTTGGACGTTGAAAATTTTCTCTGATAAAAATTGAACATCCCAAAAAAACTAGTAAACTTTTTTCGTCGAATGTTTTTGAGAGTTTCATTCATCAACATTTTCAACTTTCGATTTCTCATATAGCGCATTTGGTTTGCAAGGCAGAGTCAATTATAATCAGTCACATTGCCACAGCGCAACAATCAATCGCGAAGTTAAAAATCAAAATTTAGGCAAAAGCTACTTACAAGTATAGTTCTAGTCCTTTCCTTATATCCACCACACAAGGAGGAGCATTTGGACCACCTACTCCAATCAGAGACCACGCAGTCAACTGGGTCCCCTTCGCCGTTTTCGTCGGTCTGCGGGAAGGGAAATATTAATTATTTATAAGTTAACGGTGAGGATATGCAATTTCGTATCACAGCTTGCGTATCACATATTATGTAACTTACATAAAAAAATAGAGTACCCAATTTGTTTTCAAAATTTTAAATTTAAGAGAATCAATTTTTCAAAAAAAGAAAAAACTGATGAAATTTTTGCAAAATCACGCCAGAGGGGCAAGATTCAATTTTTAAAAAACCCCAAAAATACTTTATTACGAATTCGTGACGGCCATGCCGCAGAAGGTTAAACACGAGAGGAATGTGCGGAAATGCGCACCAAAAACCATGACTCGGCACCTAAAAAGCCAATAATGTAGAAAAAAGAGCTTCTCATTCGATGCGCGATGGGCTGTATCAGGAATAGGATGAAGGTAGGGGGGGGGGGGGGGGGGGGGTTCGTGCCGAAAATTTTTATAACATATTTTTAACTTCTGAGGAATCATTTTGAATTATTCTTACCGGGTTAGCGGCCTTGGTTGGCTCCATAATTTGAGATGCGGAGTCTAATCCAGAGTATTCAGGCCTCTGAGTGCTGCTCGATTCCTCGTTCGGGTCTAAAAATACCAAAAATAAAGTTCACATGACTCTTTAGTCTTGCGCCATTCAAATAAGGTATTAGAACTCCCAGGATATCGCAAAAGTAGTGACAAGAAGTGATAAGATGATGGCTAAAGTCGGAAAATGTGTATCTTCATTGCCAAGCTGAAACATCTCAGACTAGTTTTTATTCATTACTGGGAGGTCCGCCCCCTGGCCGCTACGCAGCCCAACCCCCGGGGCGCTGCGCGCCCCCAATGGCAGCTTCTTACTCTTTTTACTCCCCTGCCTCACCCCGTCCATCAAGCGTCTTAAAAATTATTTTATTAGAATTGGAAGGATTTTTCTTCCATAAAGAAAATTAAGTGGAGTAGGCAAAACTATAATCAAAATATTTCCCATTGAAATTGAATCCTATTGAAATATTTGATATTTTTGAACGAGCAAAAAAAAATTTAAGGAAAAAAACTGTGGGGATAGGTAAAGTTTTCTTATGAACGAAAAATTCATGATCGAGCGGAGATTTGCAACGCAGCTATCGGAGGTATGCATTTTTCGACTTCAGCCATTAATATGATGGAGAATAGTGTATCAGAAATTACAGGAAGGTAACCGCAGGTAAAACTGCAAAAACGCGTATCTGAACGGTCTGCAATGCTGCAGACTTTCAATTATAATTCTGTTTCCTAAATTGGAAAATACTCAACGAATGAATATATTTGAATTGAACTACAATCGAAAACTCCCTGATTTCTTTCTTTCCGTGTGTAGCACATTCTGTGAATAATTCAAGCAATATAGCGTTGTGTTAGTTAGTTCGCTTTCCTTTGATCAAATAAAACGGAAGCGGAGATTTTGCAACATCGCAAATGAGATACACGTTTTTGATGTTTCACCATCGGTAAGCAACAATGTTAATGTTACGCAAATATAGTTGAAATTGCAATCCCTTGCTAATTTAATAATTACGCGATTTGTGGCATGACTTGCAATTTGGAAACCCCCCACTTCGTGGAAGTAAGATTATCACATGGTGCCTCAATGAAAAGGCAGAAAGTTATATCTTCCTGTTATTGATATCTTTCTATTTCAGGGGCCGACAGTTCTTGTGTTGATGTTGCTGAAAACTGGGTAAAATTGATTACTTATCGATAAAGAAGATGCATTTTATTGCAACACTGCTGTGTTTTTATCGAAGAGAGTTGCAAATATTTCGGTGAAAAATGCTGTTTTTTATGAATTCGCCTCTCGATAAAAGTTGTATGAGGGGATACAACACTTCTCCCGCGACCATTAAATCTCCACGCCGTTCAGGGACATTTAAGTTGTCAGGTAAGACTTCGCAACTAATCCTCTCTAGCATTCATCCATTTGTATAAACAGTAAATTCTACAACCTAGGCTCCTCCAACTCGGTTTACATTGAAATTCTATGTTTTTGCCTAAGTATGTCAAAGATTGATGGTTAAAGTGGAACTCCACGTGCGAGTGTATTTAATTGAAGGTTATGTGTGTTATAAGATCCTCCCTTAAGTCACTTTGTCAGAGGAGGACGAACCAATTTTTTTTGTTTGAATTTTTCACAGAATTCTTCAGAAAAAAGGTTGAATGGAGATGTTGCATGTGTAGAGGATTTCCGATTTGGCTGTTGATTCTTATGTAAAAGTTCGGGAGAAACACAATGGTGCCACTGGTTTTCTCTGAAATCATCTCCCAAGCTCAAAAAAAAGCTCTCAAAGTGAGGCCAAAATGGAGGGGGTATCCCACCCTACCCTGAGAGTCCACGTCTACATCAAGACAAACTCTTCATGCAAAGATAGGGAGCAAATACATTAGCAGGGTTGCCGTGTTCTCAGTTTTAGAGTCCCCAAATAAATTGGCAACTCTGCTAATGTATTTGCTCCCAATCTGAGAGTTTGTTTTGATGTAGAGGTGGACTCTCAGGGTAGGGTAGGACATCCCCTCCATTTTGGCCTCACTTTGAGAGCTTTTTTTGAGCTTGGGAGATGATTTCAGAAAAAACCAGTGGCGCCATCGTGTTTCTCCCGAACTTTTACATAAGAATCAATGGTCAAATCGCAAATCCCTCACACATGCAACATCTCCATTGCAGATATTTTAGAGAAATTATATTGATTAGTTTTTCAATAGAAAAAATGAAGTATGATGGGAAGCCCACAACATTTCAAACCGAGATACGGTAGTTTTCGAGCTAACAATCGGTTATGCTCCTGATTTTTTTTACGTCGTATTCTAACAGTCCCTATCTATGTTAATGCATCTCTTTTGACATGGAGCAAAATAAAGCCTTACCACACGTTGACTGAACATGATCCAAGCGGTAGGAGAAAACACCTGTTAGGGAGAGCCCGTACATTTTTTTCAGTCGAGCTACTCTTTTTTTGTTGAGTTCCGCTGCAGTTTTTAAATTTTGAGAGCAAACATAACAAAAGCGATCACACAGAGTTAGTTTGTTAGAGCAAACACAAAATCCTATTCAATTTTTTTTTTACATCGGCAGTGAAATTCTTTGATAAGTACTCGTGATCATAGCGAATGATCTAAAAAGACAGTGGCGTATTCTGACTATAAATTCAGAGGAAGCAGAATAGGCCCCTAGACAATAAAATAAGGCCTAAAGCACTACGAAACATATTTTCTCTTGAAATGCCGTAAATGAAACAAATCACGGAACGCTAAGTCTGAAAATTAACTCCTGAACAAGATATAAGTGCGTTTAAAATTAATATTGGTTAAATAGCTAAAATAAAAGTAAGGTCATTTGTATAATTCTTTAATTTGAACTGTGTTAAAAATACTTATTAATACCTCAATTAGGAGTTAATTCCCAAAATTTCAAATTTTATGGCTCGTTTTCTGAGTAAGATTTGAAAGAGAAATCATTTGCTTTTTGTCTAGTACCTAGCCCACTGACATGCAGCTACTATGAAGGGCACGAAAATTGCGTAATTTCATCCTCAATTTTTGAGGTTGGCCAGAAAACACCTCCCTTGCAGCAATTTCAACTTAAATTTATTCCAGAATTCGTATCCCCACAAATCTAGCGTTACGATTCAACACCAGCTGACGATTCAGACACCGTAGCTCTGTTTTTTTCTCTATTTTTCCCCCTTAAAGTTTAAATGATTAACCATTAGGCAAGTAAAAATAATATTGCCTTAAAACTTTTGGGACAGCACTACTCCCTAAAGTATATACAGAAAGCACCACTTAAAATGTCTATCACTACCTGAGCATTTATTAAGTGCCTTTAAGTTCTGCAAGTATTTTAACTTCCAAATAATTTTGAAGAATGATTTATGAAATCAATGCACTTATCTAAATCCGTGTGTTTTTTGTTTTACTTTTGAACTCTTCATCAGTGATAGCCATGGGTGGTATTTTTACCATTAAATGATCATTTCAGTCAGTGTTAAAATTACGAATATAAGTGGAAAGAATACCACTATTAGTGGTAATGAATACATTATTAATTAAGAGCTCATTTGGAACATTACTAACTTAATAATTTTAACCACAGCTTTTACTTGGTTTAAATGCACTCAATTGTCCCTGGTGTAGGTGTAGGCTGCGCTCATAAAATGCATAGTCGTAGTATGAATGGAAGAGCTGGAGCCACTTTTAAGCATCTTCCAGGTCCCGAATTCTGAGACTCTGGTGTCACGCGGGGTCACTTTTTTGACACATAATCGATTGTTTTCGGTACACGAGGACCCGGCCATCCGATGTCAACAAAAGAATAGGAATTATTACGTAGCTTACATCGCCATTTTGGATCGAAAATGTATCGAAAAAGTGACCAAAGCTCGACGCACACCGGACTCGGAACTCGTCGACCAGAAAATGGCGCCAGCTCCCCCATTTACATTACGACTCTATGCACCTATGGCAGCGCCTTACAAGGAGAATAATGCAGCCAGCAGTGAGCTGGACACTTACCTCTCAGGGCTCCGCAGACTTTGTTACACTCTTCCTCTGAGCCGAACCGATTCTCATTGCCTCTGCAACCGGTGTATAGGAACGGCTTACACGAGGCCGAGAGGAAGTCGAAGTACCACTTTTCGTACATTGGTTTCGGGCAGCGACCGATCGATTTCGGCAACTGACAGATCTCTGTCAAGCACCGGTTGGATTTGTTAGTAACAGGGTTAGTAGAAAGGGACATGCAGGAATGGTATTGATGAGGCAATATTTTTCCAATTTTTACCGAAGAAACTGAATTTCTTGACGATGCTTGCTATTTTGAGTCCCAAAAAGGAGCAATTAAATAAGAAATACTAATGTGGGTGAAAAAGAACCAAGGTGTTGTGGTTAAAACGTTTTAATAACTCAGAGTGTAGATTTCTGTAGGGAAGGGGAGGCCTTCCGCATTCACACCACTTACGTAGTTTGGCAGATAGTTTTAACAGTGTAATGCATTAATCGTAAGCTGCACAATTTGAGCAGCATTGCAAAGCTGGTGCGTCGTTTTCACAGAAGAACGCCTTAACTGATAGTTGCGAGGTGCTTACCTCTGGCTTGCTCCTCGGTCATATCGCAGGAGGGAAAATCGCCTTGGCATTCGATGGTCTCGGTCAAAGGAATGGCGTTGCACTCGGACTCGGTGTCCATGTCCGGATTCAGTTCCCTGGTCCGCTGCCGCGTTCCAATGCCGCAACTCACCGTGCACGCTGACCACAACGACCAACCACCCACACATTTCTCCTCCAGCTCTGGGTCTACTGACGACTCATCCTACAAATACAACCATAACAGAATCATTAGCGGCTCCAACAAATTGGCAACATTCTTTTTTCTCCATTTTAACTTATGGAAATGTATCGATTCCCAGAAGAGCCAGGCGCTCCGACAAGAATAGATTATTTAAGGTGATTCGATGGACACCATATTTTGTATCAGAACGGCATGCGATATATCGCATCAGTTGGTTCCATTTTTTCAGCTACTCGTCATTTTTCTCCAATTTTGAGATCGCAATTCTGTTGTCAGGAGACTAAAGCACTCACTTACCAATTTTAACAAAGAAATTCAACGTATTATAGGCGTGGTTTTTTTAGAGAGAAAACATCGCATTCAATACTGATATCGAAACTGCACTCGAATTTGACACGGAACCACCAATATTTAACAAACACACATTATATTATTATTCTCCTTTGATAAATTGATACATATTTTTTCCCCATCAATTTAAGTGAGAATAATCAATGCAGAGTGTGCAAAAATTTCAAAATCATGAGTTAAAAAACGCTGACTATGCTAGTTTAAATATTAGAGCCTAACAGAGCTGAGCGGCGTGCTGCCAGCGGGAGAGGCTCACTGGCGCCTACAAACCTAAGTGGATACTTCACGCATTGCACAATGCTTGAAGTATCCACTTAGGTTTGTAGGCGCCAATGCGCGTTTCGCACTGACCGCCCGCCCGCCGTGCGGCGGCGACTGAAGCAACTATTTCACAACAGAGGTGTTGCACAGTACTATACGAAATTGAGCGTATTAAGAATGACAGGCATCCTTTAAAAGTACAGATCTTTCCTCGCAAAATAAATCAAGATACTTGTCGTACACAGGAAAAATCTAAGAGCCTTCAGCTGAGGCAAATATAGAGGTTTATCCGGTTCAGGTATAACAAGGTGGGAATTTCTTGAAAGATAATAAAGTCCTGTTACACCAAAGAGGTGTAGAGAGTTTTGGTGAATTTTGTCTCATGGAATTGACGCTCCCCCATTTTTACCAAAACTCTCAACTACATATTATTCTCCGTTGGACCAAAAAGACGAAACAAAAAAACAAGCAAACCCTCATTCTTCCAAGACATTATACATTTTCATCTAAAAACCTCGTGAGAAATTCTGCCGTGCTAAGTAAAAACGCCGTATGAACCTTCAGGCGTTGCCAAATTTTCGTTGGTAAATCATGAACTTTCGGGAAAATTTGTAAAGATTTTTCTTCCAATTTTTCAGATAATTTTGTTCGCAATTTTACCAAAAGTTCTTGAAAATTTCTCGTAAAAATATTCATAACTTTCCTCAAAAACTAACTTTTTATCGAAGGAAATTTGGCAACTCTCAAATGTTCATACGGCGTTCATCCTCAGCACGGCAGAATTGTCGTTTGTATTTACATGTGGGCCAATTAACTTTGGATTTCAACTAGCACGTGGACCAAAACTCCCGGGCCGAAAAAACGCGTGGACGTAAATTATACTGTAAAAAACAGGTGCGTGAACAAAGAATCGTCGACGAAATGTCCTATAACCTTTAAAAATGATTTTCAAAATATTTTCGGAGTTCTCACCCCATTCTGCGTGCAGGAGTCGGACTCCCCGTCGCAATCGGTCGTCTGTTCGAGGTCCAGGTGGTTCTGCGAGGCCAGGCACTCTTTGGCCGCGTCCGGGTTTTTGAAGCTCCGGAATCGGGCTTGGACCCCTTTGCCGCACTCCACGGAGCATTTGGACCAGGAACTCCAATCAGTCACCTCGCAACCTGCATCCACGTTCCCTCCTCCACGCATCCTTCCAAATTAAACAAATTCCAAATTAAAAGTGTAAGAGATTATTGATTAGTTTTCCAAAGGAGAAATAAATGTGACAGAGAGTCTACTATGTCGCAAAATAAGATACGTGGTTTTGTACCTGCACTGGAAAAAAAATACATTGAATCTAGAGTCCAGACTTTTGAAAACATTGACAAGAAAAAATACTCTTGATTCAATCAGATTTTTGCTTAAATCAAAAGGAAATCCGCTCAAATTAAGAGGCTTGGTTCTTGATTTAAGCAAAAATCCGATTGAATCAAGAGTATTTTTTCTTCTCGATGTTTTTAAGAGTCTGGACTCTAGATCCTGTGTTTTTTTTTTTTTTTTTTTTTTTTTTTTCCAGTGTGGATCAGCCGGATTCGGAGCATTCAGCGAGGACACTTAGGATTTGAGTGGCTCGGAGGACGAGGCGCATGAATGCATTTTTGCTATTTCGAGAAACGCGTATTTTTGAAGTTTCGGCATTGCACGAATCCTTATGGCGAAAAAAAGTTCAAACTGACTTTTTGATGCTTAAAAATTGGAAATTGGGAGCGAATAATTCACATAATATGCATTCAGACTAGTTTCACTTGGAATCATTAATGACTCAATTTTTTTCAAAAATTGCAATTATGCAGCTTTCCCTCCATGCCCCTCATGTGACTTTTTTTTTATTTACGGTGCTAAAACTGCAGCTCAGATGTGAGATGATTGAAACGCAAATTAGAGGGTTCTGATTGAAATGTAGCTCTCACCTGCAGAGTACATCGTCATAGTTGTAGCACGGAGCTCTCTGGATCAAATCTACGTTGCAACTCTCCCCAGAGGATCCGTCTCTAAGCTGTCTCTGTCGAAGTTTGATGCCCTGACCACAGGACTCCGAACATGGACCCCATTCTTGCCAATCATCGACAGCGCACTCTGAAATTATCAAAATCCTGTATGAAGAGAGCTTTTCTTACTGATGAGTCACATGCATCTCTAGCTTTGCGGATCAGCGGGGTACTATAAGTTCGTCTTATAGTTCCGTCGGATAAACTAAAATATCACTTAACTAACCTTATTGAGATTGACAAGATTCTGAAGGATCAATGTTGACCTTTAGGCCTTGTCTTCACGGGCCGTTTCACGGGATTTGTCCCAGGGAAAAATCCTACTTACGAAGTTGGGAAAAATATTGAATTAATCAATATTTTTCCTAGTACCAAGTATGGTCCTTGTGCCCCTAGGACCCACTGAGAGAGGAAGAAGAAGTGAAAACGAATCGTGCAATATTTTGTTGATTACTCCATTGTTCATATTTGTTTTGTTAAAATAATGTGTCTAATTGTCGATTGAGTGCAATTATTCTTTTAATCCCGGTTAGACTTTATCTAATTTATCCTCCCGCGCAAACTAGTCCCAGGACCGTATGAGCCTCGTCCCGTGGAGACGGTAACTGGGAAAAATCCCAGAAGTTTCATTCCAGCGATTCGAACTTGGGACAAATCTCATGAAAATGTCCCGTGGAGAGGCCTTAAAGACTAACTAATAAGACAACGTTGGCTACGTGAGTGTCTAATTATTTTACTTGGAACATTACGTTACGATATTGATTTGGAAGGAACCATTGACAGGTACAGTATTGCTTGACGAGCGCTCCTGAGATGTTGAAACTGTGCCATTGTGTGCTTCCAACAATTTGCATCGAAAATCTTAATAACTCGTGAATTATACGAGCAAATTTTGAAGCTTTTAGTCTTTTTGAACTGTTTGGCTTCGAATTTTATAACTTGACTTTAATGATTTTCGGGTGATCCTGCAGTTTTCCTTGCAGTTTCAGCCAATATTCCCAACAATTATATGCTGAGGAAATTAATGTCTCCTCGGAAACGCTTGGACTTAGAAATAATATTTTAGGAAGCTTGATCATTTACTTTATCATCGGCTTACCCTCGCTATTGACTTCGACGTCCTCCTTGCTGGAGTCGGTGCACGTCTTTTCGTAAAGTCGTTGTTGGTTGAGAATGAGTCTTGCTAGAGGTTTCATTTCGGCACCTGGAAAAATTTAGTGTTTTAACGTCATTTTCTTATTCATTTCCGCGACCCTCCCCTTTTTATATTCAGAACTAATGCTGAGAATACTCGAATGATTCTAAAAACGTAACTTCGGCACCGCATCTGTTAGGAAGGCTTAAAATGAGGGAGAGACTGAAAGTCAGTGGCGAGGCGTGAATGATCTATTTTCGATAATTCTCCATTTGAAGCTATGGGAAAGAATCGATTATTACGGTATTCGTTGCGAACACCCTGTTTATCGATCCTTTTCCATGGGTTTAAATGGCAGATAAATCAATGGATCGCGAAGCAGTCCACGCCACTGTTGAAAGTCTGTGTAGTCTTCCCAAAAAAGATTCAATGCTTAGTCTGAGATGATTTCTAACGATATCTTCACTCAGGGTTTCATCTCATATTTACCGTGAAAATTCAGATGTGAGTTTCTTTCTCAATTAAAAAAAATAATGAAACATTTAATTTCAAAACATGACGATTATTATTTTTCCTTGTTAATTTTATCACCCTTTTATTAATATTTATTTTTGACATTAGTTTCTACCTTTATTCAAACTCAAAACAGATTGATTTTCATAACGGATAATTTGTTCCCCCCAAAAAGAACACACAACTCACAATCAATCGGAAACTCTGTTTGGAAAAAAAAAATCCAAGTAAAAACCTGTCTAGATACATGTTTCTAGTACGGTTCCCAGCATACAAAAATCCTAAAATATAAAATGAAGATAGTATCGTAGGGAAAGAAGTCGTTGAGTTTTGTTTACAAACATAATTAAAACTGAGTACACAGTATATCTTGGCACTTGCGAATGGCGACGCGGAGATAACGCTAATGCCTTGATGCAACTATTCGTGTTTAACGAATGTATATACTGCATAATCAAAAAAATTGAAGGCGTTTTTTCTTGCGCGTACATCAACGCATATGACACTGCGCGATGTCGCGAAGCATGCATTAGCACGATTTGCTGGCATGATGATATAGATATGCTCATGATATACATAACAGGCATGGATACGCAGATAGCATTTATTATAAGTAACCTTTTTCTTACTGTATTAGGAACGACTTATCTACTAATAATTTTCCAAAACAGATAAATAAGTGCATCTAAATTCGGGTGGAGAAACTGCAATAATTGTGGCTCCGCTGCTTACGGTTAAGCAGGGTCGTTCCTAATTTTTTAGGAATGAAACCTGGCACATTATTTCACTGTCTCTGGTAGATTTTTATATCTTATGCTCCTAATCTTTTTTGGGAAGCTTCTTTTAAGACTGGGGTTTATAAAAATTAATACCTAATATGTGCAATTCTAAAAAAATCGAACAAGATAATACATACCCGATGGGTCATAAAAGGGCGACTTGGGATCATCCGGCCAGCTGGTAGTTATTTTCTGAATTCTGTCTCGGGGTACAGTTGGTATGTCTGGAGACTGTGGCATAGACATAGATAAGTATTAGGTCCGTTCCATTGTCGAACCTTAATGAGCTCCTTTCTTCAGGAGCTCCGTAAAATTGGACGTATTCATGCCAAAAGGAACTATGTGCGTAGGGTTTGCATAGATAACATAGTTCCTTTTAGCATAAATACGTCCAATTTATATTTTGATTGAGGAGGGTTTAAGATTTTCAATAATACGTAACCATAACAAATTCAAAAACCTTGATTGAAATCCAGTTCTATAATTAAGTCATTATGGGCAAAAAATTACGATGATGTTGCGACAAAAAATATGAGACACCAGAGGAAAACTATAAGTTTTGCAAATGTTATGATACGTCCCTACCAACCAACATTGCTGAATTTTACCAGCGGTTTTTAACATTTATCCACTTTTAAGGTGATACATTAAATCTCTTGGTGTCCATCAAATAGAGACATTGTTAACTCCTTTATGTATACCCATGGCATCTCCTTAAAGAGGGAACTCATGTGAAAACAACTATAAATAGGCCGTTTTTCATTTAAAATTTAAGAATTACTTGTCAAAGTTTGTGAAATCCTAAAGTGAAAGAAAATTCTGCAACCAAAAAAGCCTCGAATTAATGACACGAATGACATTCGGGACCAACAAACAAATTGGGTAGGGTGCAAAATAAGTGGTACATACAATACTATGGTGCAACTTTTGCTAAAAAGGTAATTGAAGCGTATCTTCGGGGAAGCTTTGTCGTTTTGATCAGAAAAAATTGGGAAATTCGGAGGAATTTTTTGGATTGCGTTAACATTCAAGGTAGAAAGCTCATAAGGTACTAATTTGAACATAAATCCAGTTAAGAATAACATTTTACGGTATGAATATGTTGCAAATACTCACAATGTAGGTTATACCACTGTCGGTGCCGATATCCCACGGGTACATATTGAATGTTTTAGACTGAACCCATGTGCAATTAGGCAGGCACAGTTCAAGGCCAGACACTCCCACTATCCAATCCGGTGAGGGATCTGAAAGATACAGTAGGCAAATAGAACTTTGTTTTGAAACGACGGAGAAAAGCTTACAGCGAGTCCGTGCATACTTGCGAGTTATACTGCCGTGCTAAGGAAAAACGCCATATGAACAGAGTTGCCAAATTTCCATCAATAAAATGTTTATTATTGAGGAAAGTTCTGAATATTTTTCCTTGGAATTTTCAGATCTTTTACCATTTTGACAGTAAATTTATTTCTTATTGAAGGAAATGTGGCAACATCTGGAGACTCATACGGCGTTTTTCCTTATAGCACGGCAGTTTATGTTACGGGCAAAGACCGATCTTAGATATCATCGACGATACAATACTGATGCTCATTCGAGCAAGGCCAATTGCAAATACACACACAGCTGACTGCATTGGCTACGTATCGATTGTTGAGCTTCAATAAATTAATAATCGATTCTTTAGCATAGCTTCAAATGGGAAAATATCGATAGCAAATATTCACACTCCGCCACTGCATCTTAATACGGCGTTTTTTAATACCTTCTTACATATTATACATACATGGGCTAAATAAGCAAAGAAATTCGAAATTTGTTACTTAATTTATTTTAGGAATCAGCATGCTTCAGATTCCCGCTCGCCGACAGGCGCTTTTGTAGATAAGCTAAAAAAACTAGCTCTTTTTTACGTAGTGCAGTCCACATGGTGTTACGTTTCATATTATAAATTCTGGTTTTTGCGAACAGATGAAAAACAACTAGAAAAACAACTGCTACAATGTTTATCACGCAGTTCCAGAGTGCTGAAATCGCAGTGTGCATGTTTACTCTTTCACATGCATCATTTCCTGGTGCATAAATTCGGCCTAGCGGAGATAAGTTTAAGGTTGTCGGTTTGTAAGAAATTTTTTTCGTTTTTACCGGTAATTCATACGGGGTTGGGATAAATTGGTGATTTTCACCGCCATCTGACAACGATGGATAAATTTGAGGGTCAACCCATCGCGAGCGAAATTAATGTCACTCCACGTCTGAGGCTGTGATAAAATTTTGGGAACATGCCAACGAGATGACACGAAACATACATCATGGAAAGTTGAGATTCGCCCAACTTGCCGTCCGGCGCGGCGTTCGCTTGAACTTGAGATCTGCCGGGCTAAGGAAAAACGGCGTATGAGCCATCAGGTGTTGCCAAATTTCCTTTGACAAATTACGAATTTTGAGAATAATTTGTGAGTATTCCTCTTCCGATTTTCCAGAGGATTTCGTTCGTAATTTGATCTGAAAAATCTGAAAATACCAAGAACGAATATTCGTAACTTTCTCTATAAAAAAAAAAGTTTCTGGAAGGAAATTTGGCAACATTCGAATGCTTATACGGCGTTTTTGCGCAGCATGGCAGGAAAATTACTCGCATTTTCGGGCCCCCTCTCTACCGTCAGACTGCAAATAGTTTGGAAATTTTCGTGCGAAATCAGCTGAGGTGCATTTGGATTGCATTTCTCTAAAAGGAACCAGGAGCAATACAATATTACTGAGATTGTGCAGCTCCCTTTGTGTTGGAAGGAATGCCTGATTATCTCCAAACAGTTTCTATTTAACTCACTAAAATTGTAAATTTAGGACAAAAATTACCTTGTAAATTTCATATTTTTTCCGGATATAAATCGTAATCGTCATATTGCAATGGGTGAAGTTGCACAATTTTAGCAACATTGCAATGCCCCTGGTTCCTTTTTGCAAAATGCAATCCATTTAGCCTTTTCTAATATCCTCTCATTGGCTACCCCGAAAATGGTTTTTTAACTCACCTATCATGGAAACAACGGATATGAGGTGATGCTTCTTGTCCACCCTGAATACGGCGAAAGTCTTTCCTGTCACGTTCGGGTAGCTGATACCACGCGCCTTGATAATGGTCCGGATGTGCTTGCTCTGAGAAAAACAGGGATCATTCATTAAATCACAAAAATAAAGCATAAAATGACAAAAGTAATGCCCACTTAGGTACAGGTAACGGCAATTGATTTGCAAAAAGAACACGAAAGTTTCACTCCGTTAAGACACTGAGGTCCGTGTTTTCGATTAGTAGTCAGTACTTGAGATATACGAGTAATATAAACTCCGTAAATTAAAAATTTCGAAACTACGTAACCTGGTAAAATCTAAGATGTGGCAGTTGAATTTAAGCTATTAGACTTATAAGTTTAGTCATGGAACAATTGAAAAAAAAACACATTGGATCCAGAGTCCAGACTCTTGAAAACATTGACAAGAAAAATACTCTTGATTCAATCGGATTTTTGCTTGAATCAAAACGAAATCCGCTTAAATTAAGAGGCTTGGTTCTTAATTTAAGCTATATTCTGATTGAATCAAGAGTACTTTTTCTTGTCGATATTTTTAAGAGTCTGGACTCTCGATCCAATGTGTTGTTTTTTCTAGTGAATAATTACTTATCTAATTTAGTTAGATGTGTAACATTTCTTCTCGTTTGTATGAGCTCCAATGTGAGGATTGTGGAATAAGCTGTAAATAGACTTCATTTTGCAATGAAGACCTCCTGTGTTGGCTCTTCTTTGGAAAAACCTATCTGCACAGGGAACTTATGGCACATACGTTTCTAACGTTGTTTCTAAAATAAGCCAGAAACAGTAGCATCTCATCGCAAAATGTAGTCCAAATAATAGATAATTGATCCGCATAATGTGATACTCTGTGGGAGTATGTTAGTAATTCTCAGCGCTTTTCACTTTGAGAAAAAACTGTGACATTTTTGCAACTCAAAACGTTCAGCGCTCTAGAGCACCGAGAAAAGGAGCTATCTCCTTAGAGAAACTACTCACACATATGCTGTCTAAACTAATTCAGAAATAGTGGTTCCTCGTTGCAAAAAGTAATTCGTTTCGGGGTGTTCTGCTTTTTATTCTTATCTGTTCTGTGTATTCTTCATCCCCTTAAAAAGGGTGCGTAAATAATGAGTATGTATAATGTATCACCTAAACATGTGAATGACTTATTTTCATTTCCATTGATTTATAAATAAAATTAAATAGAAAGGAAATTTGCAGTTTAAATCAAGTAAACTTAATATAATTACTGCGAGAGGCCGTTTGAGTATAGCGTAAGCAGTGCACTTGTTTTGCTTTTAGAATATCCTCCTATCATGCAATTTCACGTATATCTTTGATATAATACTGATATCTTCGCATCTTGTATTGTCGGGAGCTTTTACGTTTTGCTCAAACGGTCCCGGGACAAAATTACGAAAAGAATAGTTACCAACTTGTGATTTCAACTCAGATTCTAGCATTCTGGGAGCCCCGCTTTCAGCCACTTGACGCAAACCTTCTGATGCAAATCCGCCATACTCCCAGAACCTTTCATCAGACAGAAAAAGATTCAATTAGTTCAGACACAACTTAACTAGGGGTCTCTATTTCGATTTTCAAAAATATGACCGCTTGAGTTAGCCGCATTTTGCTTTTTAGTAATTTAAAAGGTAATGACTTGGGTAAAAGTTACGAGGCTGATCGATTCTGGCAAAAATCGAATTTATTTTTTCATTATTCGAATTGAGTTAATTTCAATCGTTCGGTGTGAATTAGTAAATCCACCGAGTAAACGAATCTTGGAAAGCCAAAAGTTTGACGCAAAGCAGACTGAATATGTCTGCAAAATAGCAGACATTGCAGCATTCAACTCGTAATTCTTGAATCATTGAGAATTTCCCATACTTCTGTCAAAATTTGCCATATATTTTTTTTTCTTCTTTTTTTCCTCTTTTTTTTACAGGCAAGCGGTTGGATGGCTCAGACTGAGTTAGGTTTAGTCGTGCTAAGTATTGAAATGTTATTTCACAATGTCGCTACAAAAATCTGTAACAGATGAAAATAGCAAGTAAAACATAATCTTACTTTTTGGGGTCGATCCATCCATCATGTGGAGCAAACATGACACCGTACGGCACGGGGTGTCACAGTGAAATTTTAAGACTTTCCTAGCAACGCACGCCCCCTCCCCTCCTCCCTTGACAAAATGGTCCGACCTCCTCTAGTCCCAGAGTTGGGGAAAATTTGCAAAATTTATCATGTCAACGATGTGAAAGTACCTGTATTCAGATGTATGAGAGGCTCCTATAACATCACTGAACCTTGTCAACCAACTGTTCGATGGGAAATCTTTCGGGTGCGTATGTCGAGACCAGAGTCCCTCAAAAACTAACTGAAACTCACAAAAAATGAAACTCAATTCAAAAATTCATTATGACAGTGTTCGTCGGTTGGTGATAATGTATCGTTATTATTATTGAGCAAGTAAACTTGAAGTTTATACAAATCCAATTATTTTTTACAGATATTTAAGTTTCAACGATCGAAACACGGTTTACACGACAAGTTCAATGGAAGTGAATTACTTTCGACTTACAGAAATAGCAGCCGCTATAACTCTTCGGCGTTCTGCATTTTCCTGTATCGCCACAGGGCGAATGACCTCAGTCTGCGAAGGCAAAATTTTCAGTACTGCGTTTTTGACAGTGCTGGTTTTGGTATGCTTTCCATTGCATTAAGCACAGAAAACAATGTAAAAAGGGGGCAGTTCCAACCAAAGGGTTGTGTCCCCTTTTCTACATCTATTTATTAATCTATATTTTCTTATTTCAGTATGCTTATGATGGAAAGTTAACATCGATAGAATTTTAATGTTTTCCGTAAAATTGCTGCGGAAATAGACCTGCTTATGACAAAAACCTACAGCGGGCTGATTGTTGAAATTGATGGAAAGAGCTATAGACAAAGAAGACAAAAGAGATGGAGGGATCCTATGGGTGGAAGCGGGTAATGGTTGCAATGGACAAAGGAGGTGAGGTAGGTAGTAGACTACTAACGGCAACCAACGAGAGACTCTATAGTTAGTCCATCATTTATCCCCTTAGTCTATAGGAACCACCTATTTCAACCATTAGAATAGCTGTATCGTCCCAAGGTCTTCTTTGTCTATCATAATCATATCGCTTTGTCCATCAATTTCAGCAATCAGCCCGCTGTAAACGGAAAAAGTCCTTCGCTCCATGAGATACCGTTATGAGCAAATGACACTGTATTCGGATGTCCCCGTTCATACCACCTCAGGATTCTGCAATGAAGTGCGTAATGAAGTTCGAACGAAGTGCGTAATGAAGTTCAAATGAAGTGCGTAATGAAGTTCAAATGAACTTCATTGCAGCAACTAACAGACCATTAAACATAGACAGGGTCAAAAGCCAAGAATCACGATTCATGTTTCCTCATCAACATTTCAATTTTAAATCGGTGAATAACACATTGAACATTCAAAATTCAACTGGTAAGTGGGGAATCAGTATTTTTCATGTTCGTGAATTCAAATTTCTTTTTATCTAGAAACCATATTTCCTCTCTTTATAATTGTTCACTTCACTATTTTCAATGTACATTACGAATTCGTGCATCCCAAGTAGCATTTGTTAACGGAAAAATTGCGATATTTAGAAATTAAGTTGCGATTTTGGTAATAAAATCGCCAGGATCATCAACATCTGAGCGATCATCCTCGATCTTGTCGCAATTTTATCTCTATAAAATCGCGTTCGATAAAATCAAAATTTTATCTCAATTTCTTACAATTCTTCCTTCGGTGAAATTGCGATAAATTGCAGTCAATAATATCGCGAGTTTCTTGCAAATTTATGGATGAAATCGCAATTTATCTTTATTTTTCATCCGATAATATCTCAATAAATCGACGTTGATAAAGTTGCAACACATCCTCCGATCAAATCGCAACTCATCGCGATCACTGCTATTTGGGATTTACTTGCTAAATCGTTTTTTTTCTGGACGGTTTTAAATGCCATATACATTAGAAGGAAAGGGAAGTTTGTGTAGAGCCCGATTCTACTTATTCTTCAAAAATACGTAGTTTGATTTCGATGTCAAACTTGACGGGACACCGATCTCTCACTAATAATTTAATGGAATAAGTCAACAAAACCGAAATATCTTGCATGAACCATTGATAAGGAAAAATGTATTGTGATGCTTTAATGATACTTACCCTGTCTAGTATGGTCCATAGCGAAGAGTATCTCAAAGAGGGGCAGTATGTAGACCCACCTCATATTTTGCTTCATCGCAAGTGCAGCATTTGTTGACGATGACAGGTTGCTGATCGTGGCTCTCCTGGATATCCTCGCAGACCACTTTGCTCAGGGGGCCATCGTCCATGTACCAAAGGTCTTTCTGTTCGATCACAGTTGCTCTGTTGAAAATTAGAGGTCAAATAATGGGGATAAAATTAGAGTACTTGAATACGAGAGAGTATTGCCATCTCAATCATTTTTTACAGAAAAAGTGTGCCGCTCTCTGATTGGTCAGCTATCATGGAGCACCAAAGTTGCACTAATGTAAACAAATCCCAGCCCCTCCGCTCCTAGTTTGACCCAATGTAAACAAACAAGACGACGACAAAGTTCTAGATGTGATTTTGGATGTGATAGAAATTTTTTCACGATCAACTACTGAATTGCGTTCGAATCGAACTTTGGTGGATAGGTACTTTTGCCGAAAATGAACCTTTGAGTGGGATTATCATTCATTTCTCAGCCGATAATACGTGTTCCTCTGGGTCGGGTTCGCTCACATCGGACCAACTTTGGAGCTCCATGATACTGCCTGAAACTGATGAGCCATTCAGAGAGCAGAACAGAGATGGCAATACTCTCCCGTATATAAGTACTCTATATAGATCTACCGTCAGTGGTGATTTTGACAGTTGGCAACACCGTTTCTCTTTCATGTAAATCCATTGAAAATATCGATTTTAAGTGACGCAAGCAACCTCAACAAGAATCGATTATTTTACCTACATTTAAATGGAGGAAAAACAATGTTACCAACCCTCCAGAATCGCTACAGCCTACTGTGTTGAGGAAAAACGTCTTGGGTGCATCTGAATTGCACCACATTTCTCTGTATTAAATACATTCATTTTTTAGAAAATCCACGAATAATATCCTTTCAACTAAGTTGATACTAGAGACAATTTTAAAAATGTAGTCCTTGATGTAGGGCCGGATTAAGGGGGTGGCCACATGGGCCGCAGCCCATGGCGGCAAATTTAGGGGGCGGCAAATTTTGCAATTTTTTTAAATGTAGGTATAAAAAAATTGGATTCAGAAAAAAAAAAATTATCAATGAGAAAAGGGAACAAAATCTATTTTTCTGAGAGTATAGTAATTTCTGATTTTGTTGTTTTTCGGTGATACAAGAGACAGCGTCTTTAATTAGTCGAGTTAAGAGAGGAACTAAACACGCAATTTGGCCTGGAGCTCAGTGCAGAGAGGAATGATGACGAGGACTTGAGATGAAAAGGACAAGCCCTCGGTGCGGCGGTCGGCGTGTAACACATACAGGGTGAGCGAAAAGTCCCCGACCCCCCCCTCTAACTTTTGAATGAATTGAGCTAGGGTAATGAAACTTTGGAAATGTTCCTATCTCAAAGGGGACTATCTTTTGGGGGGTCAAAATTTTGGTCCCCCCTCAGGGGGGGCGCGGGGGCCCCCAACTTTTTTTTTTTCAAATAGCAACCCCTATCTTGTGATACCTCATTCGAAAGAGCATAAAAAACTAAGAATTTTGGCGCAAACCGCAGATCAATATCTCAATTTTTGACCGAGTTATGATAGGTCCAAGGTCAAATTTGACCTATTTTCAAAAAATCATAACTCCGGTTCAAATTATCGTAAAGAAAAAAATAAAACGGGAAAATTTACCAAATTGTGTTCGCTTTTACGTAAAAATTTCAGAAATCACTTCGATTTAATTTTAAGGGGGGGCTCGGACCCCCAAATACGTCAATTCAAAGGTCATTCAATTTTCCTGCGAAATAAGCCAATTTCCTCTGGAATTGCCTCCACATTATCTCAGTAAGGTCAAAATCAGTTCAACATTACGTTGGCAAGTCCCCAAATTTCGGGAAAAGTTAAAAAAACGAAATTTAAGGTGATTAAATTTGACCGTTTAAATTTCGTTTTTTTAACTTTTCCCGAAATTTGGGGACTTGCCAACGTAATGTTGAACTGATTTTGACCTTACTGAGATAATGTGGAGGCAATTCCAGAGGAAATTGGCTTATTTCGCAGGAAAATTGAATGACCTTTGAATTGACGTATTTGGGGGTCCGAGCCCCCCCTTAAAATTAAATCGAAGTGATTTCTGCAATTTTTACGTAAAAGCGAACACAATTTGGTAAATTTTCCCGTTTTATTTTTTTCTTTACGATAATTTGAACCGGAGTTATGATTTTTTGAAAATAGGTCAAATTTGACCTTTGACCTATCATAACTCGGTCAAAAATTGAGATATTGATCTGCGGTTTGCGCCAAAATTCTTAGTTTTTTATGCTCTTTCGAATGAGGTATCACAAGATAGGGGTTGCTATTTGAGAAAAAAAAGTTGGGGGGGGGACCAAAATTTTGACCCCCCCCAAAAGATGGTCCCCTTTGAGATAGGAACATTCCCAAAGTTTCATTTCCTTAGCTCAATTCGTTCAAAAGTTAGAGGGGGGGGTCGGGGACTTTTCGCTCACCCTGTATACAGGCCTACAGGCCATATTAGCGCCTACAAGGCTTCATGAATACTTCACCCATCGCGCCAAACATAGTGCGGTGAGGAGCGGTTGGCCGTTGGCGTGAAAGGCATAGCGCCTACAAGACTGCAGGAATACTTCACGCATTGCGCCAAACGCAGTGCGGCGCGGCGGAAGTTAAAATTATTGAACCACATTTATGTTTGTTCTTTCATAATTTTTTGTTTCATTTCTTATAAATGGAGGACCTTGTCCACACAGAGATAGGTTTACGGAACTTAACTTTCGCGTCAAGTTCCGTGACATTTTTCTAGTTGTGTTGACAGGGCTTTCGCAAAAAATGTATCCAACACGAGTAGGTAAATGCGTCTTATGCACCTTTTCCCCTCCAGCACGTTCACTTGATGGTTTTTATTGATGTTTCAAAACGAATGAGAAGGGGACAACATGCATGTAGGTAAATCCGGCCCTGCCTTGATTGATTTAAAGATAAAAATCCACTACTTTTCCAGAAAGTTCGTGCTTCATCAGGATAAATTTCCGGATACCTATACGTCCCGTTTCTTTTTCAGCATAGGAGTAATTGGATCACATTTGGCAAAAAGAAACCAGCGTGATTACAATGTTGTAAAAATGTTGCTTCTCCATAGTTAAATAGTTCTGGCTTCCCACCAAAAAATTGTCAATTTAAAGGGAAATGATTGTATAAATTTTAATGAAAAGGAGAAGTTGCACGATTTTGAAAACACCCTGTAATTGTGCTAGTTTTTTTTTTGTCACATGTGATCCAATTTTCTTTAGGAAAATGAAGAGTCTTTACCGAATGGCTACTCACTTGAAGACAACACAGCCGCTCTCGGAAGGCGGGGCTTTCCAGAGAACCTGGATCTCCTGTTTGGGGACGGCGGAGGTTTGCGTGACCATGTTGGGGCACCGCTCGCTGAACTTGGTCAGGGCATCGCCCAGGAGGTGGAACGTCCCTGTCGACCCCGGATTACTCCCGTAGTTCGAGAAGGGCTTTGCCGGCTCCACCACCAGCATGAACCCGGTGAATTTTTGCACAGTATGCGCACCTTTCGCACCCGAAATCGTCACTGTCAAAATCAACAATCAGTTCTTTTACCTATTTGACTTACAGCATCAGGTGTGCTCGTAATCAACCTGGCAACCAATTTAAAGTTAAATTCACTGAAAAAAAGTTATGGGCTATATAGACACACCGTCCGTTCCGGGTGCTGGAGCCGTAGCGTACACTGGAAAAAAACATATTGGATCTAGAGTCCAGACTCTTAAAAACATCGACAAGAAAAAGTACTCCTGATTCAACCAGAATTTAGTTTAAATCAAGAACCAAGCCCTTTAATTTAAGCGGATTTCGTTTTAATTCAAGCAAAAATCCGATTGAATCAAGAGTATTTTTTCTTGTCAATGTTTTCAAGAATCTGAACTCTAGATCCAATGTGTTTTTTTTTTCAGTGTTGCTTAAATTGCTCCGGGTGCTACGCCCAGAACTTACGGCCTCTGAGCCCGGAACGCGGACGGTATGTCTATATAGCCCGTAAGCGAGGCTTCAACGGCCGGAGTTTTTTTCTTCAGTGCTCCACTGAAATTCAACTCTGATGACGATTAATTTTCTATATTGGAAAACACCGCAGGCTAGGGCTACCTCACTTAGAAGTCATTGTTATGAATGCATTGAAATGGAGGATAAATAGTTTTACTATATAGCTTGCAAAAATCTTTATAGTTTATGATGATAATGATAACGCGATGTTATTTGGAATTCAAGGACACCAGATTTATACACAAATTATATATAAATTATTATAACTTGTAGTTGAGAAATCTTGAAAATAGACTGGGTGTAAGTATGCTTATATAACAATAGCGATATAATTAAAAGAATTTTTAAAGTCAAGGAGGCATTGTGAAAAAAATTATTTTGGAGGGTGATACCTTTGTAGTTTTCGCCCGGTGCGTAAGTGTTCGGCCCACCGCTGAGTTCTATCCGAAATTTGTCATGGACGGGTGACTTGAATGCCGAAAACCCTTCAGGTGTTCTATTACATATCATCGAGTAGACGGTCTGCATCAACATAATCATGTATAAAGTCAGCCATATCTGGAAAGTTGTGCCCATCAAAACCCGCATCTTTATCTGGAAATGATAAATATATTAAGAAATTTCTGCGATCACACTATAGCGAAACAAAGCGGCAATGTAATGGGTACAATATTATGATACGTGCCCAAGACGAGTAGACGGTGAAGTTACCAGACCACGTATCTCGGTTTGTGACGTTGTGGAATTCTTGTCATACTTCATCTTACAATTGGAAAACTACACAAAGTAAGTTCTTCAGAATTTCCGGGATTTTTCTTCTCTGCGCGAACAAAATACTGTGATTTCAAAGAGTGATGTTGATTTGTTCTCTAAGTAAAATTGGAGAGGAGATTTTAAAACACGGCATACGAGACGTGGTTTGGGCGTTTCACCGTCGATAAGTCTCGTGCTTTTTGAAGAAACGTGACATTTACGGTGATACCACTATTCGATCACGTGGGAGCCCGTGTTGCCTACACTAAAAATTGAAGGCGAACTGATTTGACGGTAAAATAACCTCTTCCCGTCCAGTAAAAAGCAATGTTTGTGTGTGTATTCCGAGTATGCGCGGCCTTTCACGATGATCTCACTATTCGACCAAGCGGGAGCCCGTGTTGCCTACTCTAAAAGTTGAAGGCGAACTGACTTGACGTTAGAATAACGTCTTTCCGTCCGGTAAAAAGGTATTTTTTTGGGTTCCGAGTAAGCATGTCATTTTATGATGATATCATTATTCGGCTGCGTCGGAGCATGCGGTGCTTACATACACTGGAAATTGAAAGTAAAGTGACAATGTAATAATACAATACCGCCGTGCAAAGTGAAAACCCCGTGTAAGCATTCAAATGCTGCCGGACTCCTTCTTTCAATAAAATATTTGAAGAAAGTTATGAACATTTTCCCTTAATATTCCCAGAAGTTCCAGATTAAATTATAAACAAAATCCTGTGAAAAGAAAAAACCATAAATTTTCCTGGAAATTCGTGATTTCTTGAAGGAAATTTGGCAGCGCCTGGTGGCTCATACGACGTTCTAACTTAGCACGGTGGAATTATACTTCAGTTTTTATTTTGAGTAAGCGCGATATTTTATGATGATATGATTATGTGGTTCCAAACCATCGGCTGAAAAGGACGGACCAATTAAATGAAGACCCTTTCGTATCGGTCGTCGATCGTTTTTGTCGAGAAAACCAGGGAATCGATCCTTCCTCAATCCTTGTAGATTGAACGGAGAAGTTACTAACTTGTTGACAAAATCATATGAAAAAAAGGCAAAAGTGCACAGCGGGAAAATGGAAAGTCGGCATACCGACCTCGCAACCAGCTTCAAAACGAAATCAAACATGAGAAAACTTGTCCTTTGATACGCTCGAAGAGACAAAAAACCATGGTTAATGGACAGACTCGCCACAAATTTTATATACAGGGTGTTCCAAAAGTCCTGCTTCCCCCCCCCCTCCTCTAGCTTTTGAACTGTTCGAGATATAAAAACGAAACTTTGGGAATGTTTCTACCTCAAACGGGACCATCATCTGAGGGAGGCACGATTTTCGCTCCTCCGTCAGAGGGGGAGTGGGGGGTCCCCAACTTCCTTTATCAAATTTCCTTTTTCCCCTACCTTGTGGTATCTCATTGGGAAGAACATTAAAAACTAAGAATTTTGGCGCAAACCACAGATCAATTTCTTAATTTTTATCTAGTTTTTAATGTTCCTTCTAATGAGGCATCACAAGTTAGGGGTTACCATATGAGAAAAAGTGTTGCCCCTCCCCCCCTCCCCCCAGGAAGGATCCAAAATTGTGACCGAATCAGAGGATGGTCCCCTTTGAGATAGCAACATGCCCTTTATTTTTCATATCTCGAACGGTCCAAAAGTTCTCAGCCTTTTCGTTTACATCGGATGGCCTATCGTCGGCCGGGCACCTGTGTATCTAAAACAATCGATTATGTATCGAAATGGCGACCCAGTATCACTCAGAAGTCAAGGAATTCGGTGAATGGAAAGCGCTGAAAAGTGGCGCCAGTTCCTCGATTCCGACTCTGTGTATTCTATGGTGCAGTATCATCTCTCGATAGCGAATCTGCATTTGGGAAAAGTTGGAGTTTCACCGCACTGAGAGAAAATGGGAAATGAGGTTATTTGTGTGGAGAAACTCATTTATTTATATAAGAATCTCCCTCTCTCGCCGTTTGAGCACACTTCACGGGGGCGGGAAAAGCGTGGAAGCTTTTGTGCTGCCGATAAGGCGTTTGGCGAGTGGCCCCTTTTAAATGCGGAATTCTGAATGCGAAAGCCCGGCGAGGGTGGGAAAATTTAAATGGTTTGAGGCTAGATGGAGTGGGTAGATAAAAGGCTGCGGAAGGAGAAAAGGAGAAAGGCATTGATTGGGAAACGTTTTTGGCCAATTCAGCAGGAAATTTAATGGCTCTTCTCACGAAGATATTTTATCTCTATCTCGGGTGCTTCAACTGGGACTATGAGTGCGGCTACCTTCGACCGACGCACAGAAAGTCGGATCATCGATTTGAGAGAACAACGGCTCGATTTTTTCAAATGATGGACAAAGCTGTAGACAAAGAGGAGAAAAGGGATGTGGAGAGATCCTATCTCTACCGTGCTAAGGGAAAACGCCGTATGAGCCTTTAGGCGTTGCAAAATTTCCTTAGATAAATCACGAATTCGTCGGAATATTTATGAACATTTTTCTTCCGATTTTTCAGATAATGTGGTTCGTAAAGTAATCTAAAGACCGTAAAAATTTCATGGGAAAATATTGATAACTTTTCTCAGACGTGCCAACGAATTGAGGGAATAATGCACCAAGGATTTAACATCTCTGTCGGCACGTACTCTCAGTATGCTCTCAGCACACTAGATTGCATTGGTAGCTCACCACACTGTGCGACAGGGGCGTGAATTATGTCCCCTTCCCCACCCATTCGAGGGGTTGTACGAGCTCGCGGTATAGTTGTTTCCATTTCATTGATTTTGCTCATTAAATTTTTCATTCTTTCATATCTGTGCATCTAATTCCTCCATTCCAGCCAACTTTCCAAGCTCTAATCAATTTTGAATTGATTTTTCCAAGGAGCTCCCAACTAAAGAAAAAGGAGTAAAATACCTGGAGAACGGAAATCACCGAGTCCAGCCGATAAATTTTCGTGCCACCGAACAAAATGTTTTGGCGCATGATATTCAGTTCCCAGGGAGTGTCCCGAAACCAACGAAACGAAAATTTTATGTGCTTTTATAGTTCAATAAGAGAGTTTTAAACTTTAGAGTTGGGCATTTTCCGAAAAAAAAAAACCTGTGCTCATTATTTCAATGTAAAAAGATATACCTATAAAAAACGAGGGGAAAAATAAAAAGATGCGCGCACGTAAACCTAAAGGCCTCTTCTTTCTTCTTTTTTTGCAATAAAAGGAGATTTAAATTTTTTAGATTTAGGCTTTTTTCAGAGCAAACCATTCATTTCATTTCAATCGTCTCAAATATTAAACGAGTCCACGCCAAGTAAGTTTACGCACTTCTAGACTGCGACAGAGGAAGAAAATCGAGTGACGTTAGTTTAGAGGGAGGGTATGGATTCGATCGACATGAAGCGATCGAAAAATGAAAACGTGAATCGATCGACATGTATCGGTCGACACCGACTCGATCGACAAATTGTTAAAAAAAACCGGTGTCGATTCGATCGACATGAATCGATCGAAAAATTAAAACGTGATTCGATCGACACCGATTCGATTGACAGTTAATTTAAAAACACTCGTACCGATTCGATTGACATGAATGGATCGAAAAATGAAAACGTGAATCGATCGACGTGAATCGATCGACACCGATTCGATCGACAAAATTCGATCGAGTCACGGGTTTGTCGATCGACTCACGGGTTTGTCGATTGATTCACGGTTGTCGATCGATTCACGTTTTCATTTTTCGATTCATTCATGTCGATCGAATCGATACGGGTGTTTTTAAATTAACTGTCGATCGAATAACGTTTTAATTTTTCGATCGATTCATGTCGATCGAATCGACACCGGTCTTTTAATAATTTGTCGATCGAATCGGTGTCAATCGATTCATGTCGATCGATTCACGTTTTCATTTTTCGATCTAACCATGTCGATCGAATCCATACCCTCCAGTTTAGAGTTGAAAAGAATGCAAGAATCAAGATAGCAGATCTTTCTGTAGCAGTCTAAATTTTAATAAAGAAGTTTAAGTTTATAATTAATTTTACAATTTTACCATTTTATCAGGCACTTTAACTTTAGGTTGAATGGAACTGATTTTAAAGTAAACACGATCGATTATGCTATTTCCTAGCTGATAAATATTCTTCCTCATCCTCATGTTTTACATTGTTACTATAATAATCTCCAAGCTACTTCAACGCTTTTATTATACAATTTTTGCATGATAAACATAAAAAAGTTGTCACTAAACTTGAATTGCTGCGTGGTTTCAGGTTTGTAATGACAAACTGTAAATTGGAGAGAGAAATACTGAACTAATGTTACAGGCTGCAAAGTTCGGAACTCAAACTTCACACCGGTCTAGAATCAGACGCGCTGACCACTGCTGGACCAACCTAACTGGCGCACATAGAGGATCGACTCAATAAAAATTTGGAAAAATTAAAGGCCTATAACTCCGTTTATACAAAACTTTAAGGTCTTAAAGGTGGTTCCATTGGTTTCCTCGTGAAATTCTCCTCAACGAGCACCCCTTGAAATTTAGAATAAGGCGAAATTTGCAGTTTTAGTCAAAAATGTCATGTCCGATCTCTCAAATTGACTCCATCCACTGTGTGGCGTGAGAAAACTTTATGATAGAAAACATTGAAAGAAAAGAGGGAGAGACATACCTGATTTATGTTTTCAGCTGATCCGAGGTTCTAAATCTTGTATTCTGTCACGGTTTGAAATTTTCTGCGGATTTCCACGCACTCTCAAAATGTCAGGAGCATTTAAGGATTGAGATGGCAAATGTTCGTCTCACAATTAACTTTGAATTTCATGTGTCTTCTGATCCTCTTGCACTTTGTCATGTGAACACATTCATTGCCACGCATTTTAGTATGTTAAAGAGGAAAACTGGTCTATTTGACAAATGGACCCAATCTCAATGGTCCCGATGGTTTCATCGACGTCTGCTTACGAACAGAGTAAAATAATCAGAAAAAATAACCATACTTATCATTAAAAAATGGAGTTCTACTGTTGAGAAATAGCTTCAAAATGTTGTCTTTAAATTTGACAAAATCGTCATTTATCTCCTTTAGTTGAAGCAAACCGCTCAAAGCATTGCAAAAATACCTATGCAACATCATCTTGACATTTTAGTATACCGATTTTTAGACATTTTATATTTTTGAAGGCAAAATCATCAGTTGCTGGTTTCAGAATACGAGTTCGGCGATGTTCACCTTTTAATTGGGGAAAAATTTGACGTGAATTTTCAACGTTTCAAATCGAATCATTGTTTTGCATTGTCATTATCAGGTTCTCAAGAACCGCCCGGCAGATACATAAAAATAAACGTTAAAAATAAACACCATTGCTTTGTTTCTTTCTCACGAGCCATTGTGCTAAATCAAATAAGCTATCTAGTGACTACAAAAAAATTGCAATTTCAGCCTTTCTTCTGATTATTTTACTTAATGCAAAAATGATTTCAAATTAATTCCGAATAAGCAGCACAGCATTTAGTAAGTCTGAACAGAAGTCGGTTATTCTGACTGGTTACCACCTTCAAGAGCAGATATCCAATAGCGACACCAACACGCTTCAGAATATAACAATCACCTTTCTTTTTTTAAGAGAGAGACACAAATCAACAAAATCTCCAAAGTTTCAAACGATAATGGCACAATTCAAACGCACGTCTGTTACCTCCTTCGGCCCCCGATAGCGACGATACGAATTATTTTCCGGCGCGCACAGATTTAAAGTTTAAAATTAATGGAATTTAAAAGTGAAAATTTCCGAGCGCAACGCCGAAAATGCGCATCCGGTGCAAGAATCGGTGTTTTTCGCAGCGAATAAGAAAGAAGCGGTAAAGATAAGCATCCGTCTTTACCGTCAAACCCCAAGAGCGGTGACAACGAGCTTTACTCAGCGAGCACAAATTTTAAGGTTTAAAATCCGAGGAATTTAATATCGAGTATGCCGAACGTCGCGTATCCGGTGCAAGAAATAGTTTTTTTGCATCAAACGGGAAAGCGGCCCGACATGCCGCGACATTTATAGAGACACTAGATGTGGGATGCGAGCGGGTGAACCGTTCTAGATACCGAAATTCACATCTGCGCACAGGGTCTCCGTCCCTCCGCCCCGCCCGCGCGGACCCCCGGACACCCTTCAACGACGGCCCCTTGCCCCCCCCCTCCTTCTCCCCCTTTCGCCTAGACTGCCGGGAGCATTATCATATCTCGATACTGTCACTCTCATCGAATCTTAAACTTCGAAGACAGCATCCCCGGAACCGGACTCCTACCCTAGAAGGAAAAGGTAAACATTATGTACGAAAGTTAATTTTTTTTATATAATGCATGCATACGAAAGTGTTAAAAGTGAACATTTTTTGTTTCCGTTAAGTATATTAAAAAAGTCATAATTTTCGAGAGCTTTTCGCAATCATACTGAAAAATCTTCTGATTCGCGAAAAGCTCACGAAAATGATGACCTCTTTTTATATAATAGTTACATAAAAATGTTCACTTTTAACACTTTCATATGCATGCGTTATGTACAAAAATAAAAAAAGTATCTACAAAAAAAATTACCTTATCTACCTTTTATCATTTTTCATATGTTATGGTCAGATCTGAACTTTGATTTTTTTTTTATATATAAGCGTTACACGTTTTTTATATAAAACTACCATTTAGATAACAAATATGTTTTTTTATACTTTTTTTAGGAAAACGAAAATTTGTTCTGCTACTAGGGCGTTAGCAAGGAGTCTTGGGATCAACGTATTCCAAAAAGATTTTTGAGAGAAAGGAAAAAACCGGGGAGTGAATGATTTCAAAAGTTGTTGAAATAAAGCACAGCCGTATAATTAAATCGGCGCATTATTCTTTTCTAACGCCAAATCAGGGTAGGTTTCAAACACCGCACCGGTTCCTGTAACTGTTTTCCTTTTTTTACCTTTGGTCGGTCTTTTGGACAAAACTTTAGTGCTTGTACTGTTCATTGACCCTGGACCCTACTTGTATTCTTACTTGCTACACACCACGATGCTATTATTTGATCCCGTGTCATGTAAGTATGTATCCGCCTCATTTGAAGGCGCATTATGCGACCTGAGTTTGTAATTCACCTCCACATGCAGTTGGAAATTGCGTCGGCATAATAATGATGCGCATTGCAATAAATGAAAGGTATACAGTAAAAAAAAAATATGTAGGTAATTTACTCGCGATTTATTCGAGACGTGTGAATTTTTTTTTGCATTATATTCTATCTTTCATAGTGAAATAAATTCACACGAAAAAACTGGAGAGGTCAAACTACAAAGTCTACCTGATTTGGGACAAGTTAGACTAGGCGGTGCGAAGTTAATCAAAGTTCTTGCAGCATCTATGCTCGGCTTCGTTGCCGCTGAGGTCACTGGCGCTTTAAAATCTCCATTCATTCTTGTGGCCCTCAACTAACGAGCACTAACCATCTTTCTACTTGCACATAGTTCGATTCAGCAAAAATACGTCCACCTGTCTCTGGTTCCGTTTAGTAGAAATACGTCCGAATATATGGAAACCGCCGATATTTTTTGAACTTGGAGTTGAATGGAGATGCTTCTTGTGTGAGGAATTTGCGATTTGACTGTTGATTCTCATGTAAAAGCTCGCGAGCAACACGATGGTGCCACTGGTTTTCTCTGAAATCAACTCCCAAGCTCAAAATAAGCTCTCAAGTTCAGGCCAAAATGGAGGGGATATCCCACGCTATCCCGAGAGTCCACTTCTACATCAAGACAAACTCCCCATGCAAAGATAGGGAGCAAATATATTGACAGGGCTGCCACATTATTTGGGGACTCCAAAACTGAAAACACGGCATCACTGTTAGTGTCTTTGCTCCCTATCTTTGCATGGAGAGTTTGTCTTGATGTAGAGGTGGACTTTCGGGATAGCGTGGGATATCCTCTCCATTTTGGCCTCAACTTGAGCTTTGGCTTTTTTTTGAGCTTGGGAGTGGATTTCAGAGAAAACCAGTGGCACCATCATGTTTCTCGCGAGCTTTTACGTAAGAATTAACAGTCAAATCGCAAATTCCGGACACATGCAACATCTCCATTTAAAATGGATTTAAATAGGGAGAAAAGCATTGTTGCTTAAGGGGTGTCACCGCCACGCTCAGAACACGCCAGGAACACGCGTGTCGTCGCGGTGGGAAAAAGTCACGTGGCCCGCGAATGGAATTTGGTTTCAGCGTCGAAGAGACTGAAGTGAATGAGAGTTATTTTGACTGTCGAATTGTGCGCTTAACCTTGACCCCCTTCACCCCGCTCCTCTTCCGTGCGGCGCAAGGCGACCCCACATAGTTCCGCGAGGAATTCGCCACTCCCGATTCTCCTTATACAACACCTAAACATCTACGCCACTCCAGCTGCGGCGCTCGCGATTTGAGCAAGCTTGCCAAATCATGCTCAAAAATAAATTTTCCCCGCGTAAAACCAGTGCTCCCACTCTATGGCCGTCGATAGTTCCGGGATTCCGAACTTTTTTGTTCCAATTTCTCCTACTTCGTGACCGTCAAAAATTCCGGGATTCTTTTCAGATTTTTTCACAAGTTCCGAGAAAGTTCCGGAAAATGCAGAAGATCCGGAAAATTTCGGGAATTTCAAAAGTTCCGAGGAAAACTCAGGAAAATGTCTAGAGTTCCGAAATTCAGCGAAATTCCAGGAAATGGGAGCACTGCGTAAAACTGAATGGAAAATGTACCTGTTAAGCCCCGATGGTGAAATAGCCCGGTCTGCGGACTGGCTGGTCAAAAATCTGAAAATTGTGCCAACAACGGGCCGACATCAACTTTAAAACAATTAATACGCTAACCGAAAAATTGACCCATTGAAAAGTTCCTTAAGAATTTTTAATGGATCTTAAAGGTATCAAAATAAAAACTTGGGAAATTAATAAAAATTTACAGATTACATAAATGAGTTTGAAATTGATTTTTTTCTCAAATTTCTCTTGGGAGTTGTTATTAAAGATTTACGAGTTTTTTTTTTAAGAACCCGAGCATCCAGGTCAATAGACCCGATCAATAAATTTGGAATTCAGAAGGAGAAATGCACGGATGAAGGGTGATCTCTGGCAAAAATATCCATCAAAGTTTGTCTAGAACTTTTGAGAAGAACAACAGTTAGAAATTAAAAAATCCTAATTGTGTCCAGGCTACTACTGAAAAACTCTTATGCACCTCTAAAGGAGTGAGAAAAGCAAAAGTGCCTTCAATTTTTGAACACGCAACACGCACATTCGTGGAACACGAATAGTTGCATCAAAGGGCCACAACCTACTCAGCGGGTCGATCATTGAAATTGATAGACAAAGCGATAGACAAAGAAGATATAGGGAGTATGGAGCTATCCTATTGGTTGAAATGGTTTGTTCTTATATACTGAGGGAGAAAATGATGGACTAACTATCGGGTCTCTCGTGGGTTGCCGTTACTTAGTCTATTACCTACCTCCTTTGTCCATTGCAACCACCCGCTTCCACCAATAGGATCCCTCCAAATCTCTTTTGTCTTTTTTGTATGTGGCTTTGTCTATCAATTTCAATATTCGGCTCGCAGTTAAGTCTTCGTAGGTCGGGATACAAACTACATTATTGACCAAAGATCTATATGCTCGTGTCATTGACTGGCTTTTTTACAACCCTATTAAGGCCCTGTAGAGGTACTCTGTTATTTGGGTGCCACAACCGATAGACAAGAATCTCCCCATCTCTAAAGAAGTGAGAAAAGCGGAAGCGCCTTTAACGTTTAACTATGCAACACGCACATCCCTGGAACACGAATAGTTGTGTTAAGGCGCCCTAATCAACTTATATAGCGCAGTCTTTGTGAAGTAGGGACACCTTCAACATTTGACATTGCAATATGCAAATCAATATTTTTTTTTTTACTTATGAATTTCATTTGAGAAGTTTTAATGCTTCTCTCATGTTCTACCCAAAATTTCAATGAGCAAACATATGTTATGGTTCATCATTTCGTAATGCCGATGCATGCCAACTGGCGGATCCCGGCGTCGCAACAATAACCCTTGCTGACTCCAGTAATTTTCATTACTGTCTCTCCTTTTATTTATTCAGCAAAATTTAGCTGCTAATTTATATTATAGTCCTAATCATTATTGTTTTTCTTTAATATCTATATTACTCACTTTCACTGTAAGTGTATTTCATAACTATGTAATTTATTGCGACAATAAACAATAAAAAAAAAAAAAAATCATTTCGTAATCTGTCTGGTCGTTTGATGGAGCAACCATTTATATCAGGAAATAATAATACTGTGCCGTTAGTAGCTTGCATGGAATATTCACTCTCCAGCATATTTTTGGTAGCATTTAAAAAGGCGATAAAAATGAGTTTAGATGGTCTTTGACCACGATGGTCAAAAGACCATGACATTATAACAAAACAACTCATTCGGTATGGTCATGTCCAGAGAACGGCAGGAGACAGGTTGCCGAAGAAGGTCCTTGACTGGGTTCCTCCTGGGAGAAGACGCAGAGGGCGCCCAATGAAAGGTTGGAGGGAAGGAATTGAAGCGGAAATGTTAAGGTGCTCATCCCCCAAGATTTGTGGTTTGAAAGAGAGCAGTGGAGGTTAGGAGTCGTAGAGCGCGAGGGAGTGCTGTAAAGCGACTTATATGTATGTGAAATGAGTTTAGTCTCAAGCAAAGAAGTTTAAATGTAGTAGGAAAAATTTGTTTTTGAGGTATGAGACATTAAAAAAACCTGTTTGGCTGCTCTACGGTCGATGCAGGTTTATAAAAGACCCAATTTTCAACATACTTTTCAAAGCATGTGTGAGGGTTTTCAGGCAGGAAAGATGAATAATTGAGACTATAACAAGGTAGCTCAGTGATAATTGGAAAAATAATTCTTTTAGGAAATAATTATATCGAGCAAATTTCGTGTTGGATATACAAGACAAAGCAAATGCATAGGGGATTTAATCCTCAGTGTAGTATACGCCTCTTAAGTGGTCGTATTAAAGTAATTGGACTCATATATGCTAAAAGTAACTATATTCCACGAAAACGCTATGCACACAGTTTTTTACATGTATACGTCCGATCTAGAATAGACACGGGTACTATTACTCGCCTGTCGGTATTACACGGCGGAGAAGCAATCGAACAATCAAAAAGTATAAAACTATATCTATTCCTCTGATAGCTACATTGGTTACTATCGGAGCTGCCTGGTCCGTTTTCTGATTGATCATACGCATGATTAGTAACTCGCAAAAACAAATCCGCATGAGCAATGAATTGGATACATTTGCGAGTTGAATTTTTAAGAAAAAACCTACCATATTGATCACGTTTAAACCTTTTAAAATTCTACGTTCAGAACACCAAAATTCTAGTAAATTCAGAAAAAATCAAACTGACAAATAATAGCAACGTTCCCCGTTTTTATTCACATGATTTTGAAGGGACAAGACGAGAGATAATTAATTTTCAGTCGTGCGACGTGACGTTTCTCATAGGTTATCCCGCGCTATAAGCCTGAGAAAATTAATTTAGGTCTAAATAAGGCAGTCTAGAAATGATAAAAGAAATCATGTTTAGGAAAATCCAAAATTAAACGCTGAAGTGCTATTATTGCTCAGAGGGCATATAAACGAAGACGAAAACGGGTGCAATGCAAGCTGCATCCACCTTAATTGAAGGCGTTTTTCAGCATTCGGATTAACGGGCATCGCTATTCGATAAAGAGAGTAGAGCTTAGCGAGGGAGCGGAATGTGGTGGTCCTTTTTTTAATTTTTTACCTTTCTCGTACGTCACAACTCACGAGTCAAGTACTCTCCTACCCATCCACAAACTCTTTGCTTTCTCGTTTATTCCTTCCTTACCCTTTCTTATCCTCTATTTGTTGTTGTTCTTTCTCTTCCTTCGGTTTTTTCTCAGCGGCGCGGCGGCGCTTTGATGTACCAAGAACTGGGCGTATTTGCTAAAAGAAAATATGTGCGTTTACTAATTAAATCAAAATGAGTATCGGTGGCTGAAGTTCGCCAAAACCGCATATCTCCATTGCGTTTTGCGTTTCCAAAGTTTTGCAACAGAGAAGGAAAATAGTTTTCCAAGGGAAAAAGAAAGTGGGAAGGAAAGTCTGCAACGTGGCAAACGGAGGTACTTGGTTTCGCTCTTTGGCTATCGTTATGTGCAAGTGCATAGGATTTGCACGCATCAAAGCTCTTTCAATCGTTTGCACACAGCTCCTTTGGACCTAAAATTGTCTAGTTGTTTCAGCCTATCACCTGTGGAATAATAAGGGAATCCAAAGCGGTTCTTGCTTTAACTTCCGCGAAAATTACAATCCCTTTTTTTTGATAGCTAATTTGTTAGTGTTATTAAAGAAAATTCTGTGTGCTTTTTCTTGGCCTTTGCAAATAGAATCCTACTATCATAAAAAGAAGAAAAAAAAAAACATTTATAAATCCATCCTCAACTCATACGATTTCTACTAATCCTTTATTTCCTACAGAATAGTAACCCAAATCACCTAAAATAACGCTTCTACCCTCTTATACCTATCATATTAAAAAAATCATTCTTCTATTCTGCCGTGCTAAGGAAGAACGCCGTATGAACATTTGAGAGTTGCCAAATTTCCCCGAGTAAAACATGCATAGTTGAAGAAGCTGGTGCATATTTTTCAATGATATTTTTAGATATTTTAGATAAAATTGAGAGAAAAATCGTCAAAAAAATTGGAAGAGAAATATTAACAAACTTTCCTGAAAATTTGTGATTTACCAAAGGAAAGGCGACGCCTGAAGGTGCATACGGCGTTCTTCCTAAGCACGGCAGTATTATTCTCAGCTTCCAGCTTCCATCCAAACCCGCAGTGTCTCTCAGATAAAACGCCTAAAAACCATATATAGGTATAAGAGAAGAGAGTAGAATCCCTCAAAATTTCGTGCAAAAAGTGTCTTGCAATAATCCTTGGAAAAATTAAAGGAGTGGAAATTTTGAAGCAACTCAATCGAGATCCGTGTTTTCGTATAGTTTGCCGTCGATGTGTTAGATAGGGGAATTTAAAGGATGCCGATGTCAAACACTGAAAATAATGGAGACTTGTCGCAAAAAACCGACCAAGGCTTTATTTAACTGGACGCACTTATGCTAAAAGGAACTATGTTCCACGCAAACCCAATACACAGAGTTCTTTTTAGCATAAACGCATCCATCTCTAGAAACACTCAGGTGTTTTTAATCCTCCTGGAATTTGCCCTGTTTGCTTGCGCACCCGTTTCTGAACACAAATCCATGTGCAGAAATACAATTGAAAAAAAATTGTTATCCGTTCAAGGCTACCGTCTCGACAATTTCATTCTTGCCTTTGATATGCCGAAGGGATTAAAATTGAACCGATTATTTTCCAGATCACATACGCGCCAAAATTGCGAATGCGAGAAAAACAATAAAAACAGTTTTATTAGCTTTGTTAGCAATCTTCGAATTCTAAAAAATGTATGCTCTTTTAGAAGGCTATTTTGACATTAGGCGTGATTGATTATACCAGAGGAAACAAAGAAAAAACATCCCCTCCATAGAGATTGGCGTCTACGTAATTCGGAAAATAATCGGTTCATTTTAGAATTATGCTGAACTCATTAAACATTGTATACATAGACGATTAAATCTAAGCCAAATTCATCGGTTGACAAAAGAGGCTATATGTATGTAATCAGGGCCAATGTGGATGCATGTGCCTAAACAGCAAAATTTAGAACTGCATCTCACAAAGACCAGCATGTCAGTGTGGATCAGAATAAAATTGTAAGCGCCTTGCTTTTCCTCTCTATCCGCATAGTAATTGCGATAGAGCGATTGGAAGACTTCTGGTCCTAAATCTGCAGTATGTAATTTTGTAGTTCTCTCCAAAGATGTAATATCAATGGCAAGGGTAGCGTCACGCAAATTATTTTGTTTATTCATGATTTTTTTCTCGCCATTTTCGACTGAATTCGTAAAGAGGCAGGGAGTTTACCTGCTTTTAAGAGTAGGTATTTTCACAGAACATAGTGGTTTGTTTCCAATGGTCTGAAGTGATAACGAGTAAGTAACTCGTTTTCACCGTGACACGCTTTTACCGTAAACTAAGAATTATTGGGGGAAAGGAATACAAAAGTACATCTCGTCAAGGTAGGTCTTGGAGTGAAGAAAAAACACCCTTTACGGGCTGATAATTGAAATTCATAGACAAAACGATAGACAAAGAAGACATTCGGAGGTTGGAGCGATCCTATATTGGTTGAAACAGGTGGTCCTTTAGACTGATTGTGAGGGGGAAAATGATGGATTAATTGTGGGGTGTTTTATCGGGTGCCGTTAGTTTGTCTATTAAATACCTCCTTTCTCTATTGCAGACACCCGCCGATAGGATCGCCCCACTTCCCGCTATCTCTTATGTCTATGGCTTTGTCTATCAATTGCAATAATCAGCCCGTTGAAGGAGAATCTGAAGTACTCACTTCGGCTTCTTGGGGTGGATCGGGAGCCACAGAAAAATTTTGACGCCTCGAGAGCAACTCTGAGATGTCACCGATGAAAAATTTATTCAGGGCCGGATTTAGGGGGTGGCCACATGGGCCGCGGCCCATGGCGCCAAATTTAGGGGGCGGCAAATTTTGCGATATTTTTAAATTTAGCTATAAAGAAAAATCGGAATCAGAAAAAAAATTACGAACGAGAAAAGTTGACAAAATCTCTCATTTCCTGAGAGTATATTTCTAATTTAGTGTAATACAATACAATCTCTGTGATACAATAGACAGCACCTTTAATTAGTCGAGTTAAGACTAAGAGAGGAACCGAACCCGGAATTTGGTCTGGAATGGCGCGGCGCAGAGAGCAATGGTGACGAGAACTTAAGATGAAACGGAGAAACCATCGGCGCGGCGGTCGGCATGTAACACATATTAGCGCCTACAAGACTGCATGAATACTTCACGCATTGCGTCAAAGACAGTGCGGTCGCTGCGGTCAGCAGCGGGCGGCGTGAAACGCATAGCGCCTACAAGACTGCCTGAATACTTCAAGCAATGCGCCAAACAAGGAGCGGTCAGCGCGGCGCGGCGGCGGAAGTTAAAATTATTAAACAACATTTATGTTTGTTCTGTCATTATTTTTACGTTCATTTCATATGAAGGGAAGGCCTTGTCCACACAGAGATATGTTTACGGAACATAACTTTCGCACTAAGTTCCGTGAACTTTTGCTAGTAAAGTGTTGACAGGGCTCTCGCAAAAAATGTGTGCAACACGAGTAAACGCGTTTTATGAACCCCTCCCCCTCCGGCACGTTCACTTGATGGTTCTTATTGATGTTTCATAACGAATGAGAAGGGGGCGGCAAAATACAGGCGGCCCATGCGCGGCAAGTAAGTAAATCCGGCCCTGGCTATCATGCGAATGATATAATAGATTTGTCTTCAGAAAAAATCCTCTTCATTAATGCACCTGTTTTTTATGTTTGTTAGATTCCTTCACGAATGCTCTTTACAGATTCCAGTTAAATTGTTATTTTTATCTTTTAACTGGAAGGTACGCTGTTTGACTACCTCACGATCCCCGAAGCGCTTTGCGGGTCAGGAGTTCTGCGTTACACGTTAATTTATTATTTTATACTATAGAATAAGATATATTTTCTATTTATTCTCCAGTGAGTCACTGAAAATTTTATCAAATTCGTCATGAGAATTTTTAAATTTTAGTTAAACAAATAGGCATTGTGACGGAAGGGAAAAAAAGAGAGACAAGGATTACTTTAAGAAATTAATAATGTATAATGAAAATTGCACTTTCTTCTCAGTTTAACAAATTAAATCTAATAAACATAATATTCAGTTCCTTATATATTACATACAAATTTTATTCTACAGTTAGATCATTTTTTCCTTGAATTCTGAGTACGGCCACGTTAGTTCAAAAGCAGATTGATTAAAAATTTATCCTTTGGTAACTAAATATAAGCTAAGGTTAGAGGTACGCAAGATTAAATAAGGAGCGGAAATAAAATCCAATCATGCGTAACATTGCGCACGAAGGAATTCTTATGCACGATTGTATCTTGCGTTTTTTTCTCGTGTTGAGGATTATGAGTGCTCACAGTATGAGAGCTGATTTTAATTAGTGCATCGCTACCATTATAAAAATATCCTGTTCATTTAAACATGGAGGACATTGTCGGCAAGTATCTAAACCTGTTTTCCTTTTTAAAAAAGGAATACATCTTTTGCCAAATGTTTAAATGGGGGGGAAATTCCTTCCACTGAAGGAGTAGCTTACCTCTATGTCTATATATATAATACTAAAAATATAACTGGGATCGCATAATTGTACTTGATACATATTCAAAGCTCAAAGCTGTCTGCTTTTTTCCAATTTTACTTACTTCTAATATCATTGAAGTAAATGAATATCGTTCAGACGACTGCAATAGTTATCTGAACTTACATAGAATAACAAAAGCAAAATCTTAAAGACTAAGTTTTGATATTTACAACTGATTACTGAAGAGAAAATATAGTCGTTCATAGAACATACTTGATATATATCATAGATATATGGGATAAAAATTACCAATTTTTCAGCGTTAAAACAAGAGGGTCCACATTCCGCACGGTTGCCGTATCGACCAGAATAATTACCCCAGTCGACAGCTCCCGCGCTGCAGTCCACTCTCTAGCTTACTAAACCAGTAAATAACATAATTTTTAATTGCACTTCCAGGCAGAACAAGAGAACATCGAATTCGTGCCCTCCAACATTCACACGCACACTCACTCACCCGATACATGTAAAACTTGACGGAACAAGGAAACCCCATCGATACACCGAGGGGACTCCTCGATCCACTCGGAAATGACTTTTCCGTGACAAAACAAGAGGAATAGGGGAAGAGTCCAGAGTTGAGATATTCAGCCGGCGGTAAAAATAAATTTTGACGTACGGTCCGCACGAAATCAATTAAAATTGCAAGAAGGACCGGCTCTTGGATCTCAAGTCTGGGCTCTTGGATTGCAGTGCAGCTGCCATTACCGGCACGCTGCATGGCTGCACCGATCCGCTAACTGCGCAATCGGTTGACAACCACCGCAACACCGAAGGGGAAAGGGGTGGGGAAATGAGTTTGACTCTACTGGATCTGGACTATGTACACACAGCTCGGAAGCGCGAGGCGGGGGAGGGATTAGAGGGAGTACGGGTGGCAGAACTGATAGACAAGCCTCTGGGAGCGCTCTGTCTTCTTCATGATGCCCTTCTTGTAGTACTGACGGATGGAGCGGGAGAGCTTGTCGTAGTTCATGGCCGGGCGGTTCTTGCGCATGCCCCAGAGGCGCGCCACTTTGACCGAGTCCTCGATCTTGAAGACCCCTTTGCTCCGGTCCAGCCAGCGGATGCAGGAGCAGTGGGCCTGCGGGGACGCCAGGAGCTCCTTCAGGAACTGCCACAGGTGGATGTGCGAGCCGCTGCCTCGTCCGCTGATCTTCCCGCCGCCGGCCGCGCCTGCCGGTGGTGAGGCCAGGCTCTCCAGCGGCACCATCTCCTCGTCCTCTTCTTCCTCTGCGAACACAAAAATCGACAATTTTACAATCCGTCGAATGCGCCAGTCGCGCCAGTCACAAATGGACATGAACGCCAATGGTAACGTAAAAATAGAAATAGACATAGACATAGCTAAAGACACAGACATAGACATAGACATAGACATAATCATAGACATAGACATAGACATAGACATAGGCATAGGCATAGGCATAGACATAGACATAGACATGGACGTAGACGTGGGCGTGGACGTGGACGTGGATATAGATATAGACGGAAGAATAGACACAGACATACGAAGTTGTTTTCGTTTACGGTTGGGTATGGACTTGGGCAAAGACCCGGACGCATATCTAACGCGAGTTTGAATTATCTTGCCAAACACAGTCCGGCCGCATATCGGCGCCTGCAAGACTGTATGAATACTTCACGCATTGCGCAAACCGGTGCGGTCGGCATGGAACGCATATTAGCGCCTACAAGACTGCATGAATACTTCTCGCATTGCGCCAAACGCAGTGCAGTCGGTCAGCTGGCGTGAGACGCTCATTAGCGCTTACAAGATTGTAGGATGCATTGCGCGCTCAGCAAGCCATGGCCATTTACACAGAAGAGGACATGGGCATAGACCTAGACATAGACATAACCAAAGAAATTGATGTCGACATCGACGGAGACGGACCTTCCATAGGAATAACTAGAGCAACTTTCCGAGGGTGGTTTCGTCTCCACTTTTCCAGAATGAGCCTAGATCCTCCCGATGCTTGGAGATTGCTCGGAGGATTCTCTGGGTTTTTTTCCTCCCAGAAAATTGACCCCTCTGAGATAATTATTCATGTTGTTCTATCGCAAAATTGTGCTAGACGTATGCACACTTGAGGCTCACCTTCACCGATAATCCTTGAGAAAAATATGGAACTTTTGCTTGTTACCTATCGCATCGTGCAATCAAACGAGGGAACGGTTCTATAGCTACTGCCTACTATGTAGAGAGCCAAATATACTTGTTCACGCTCTAGGGGGGCCTATCCTATCCTCTTAAGAGCTGCGCTCATGACACAGCTGACAAACAAAAAAACAGTGGCAGACCGCGAAAATTGCGGTAACACTCTCATTCCTTCCTTTAAATGCATTTAGAACATTACCCATCGAAGTGGCAAATATTGGGTATCCCCCCTTGATTGTAAGCAAAACTTTCAATATCGAATTTTCGCTGATAACTACTAAGAAGTCTGGTCGCTAGAAGCGGAGCTGCTTGCAAAGGCGAGCATTGCACATATTTTTTTCTTTGCTGCGTATGTTTGTGTGAGTGCCGATGGATTTGTAAATTCTAAACGTTATACTAATTGTGTTATCAGTGATTTCTGTTAAATTTCGATAAAAATAATGATTTTACTGGGGTAGAATAAATTGTCGGATAACTCGATTAATACCATAGCATGTTGTTTTCGTGCGAAAATTAATCTCGCATGTAATCCGCTCTATCAAAAATGATTCCTTGAATATATTCATAGAAATAGATTCCGCTAGCTACTCGCCCTCCTGCAGCTAGCTATTTGCATTCTAGGACTCGAACATGATTCCAGATCGAAGCTATAAATAGCATCGTAGGCGGAACCTGTTACGCTTGTAATGAAATGCGTGTCCACGTACCTATCGATAGAACTTTTGCAGAGTGACTTTACAACCCGAGTGTCGGTAAAAAAATAAATAAATCATTGATACATATTCACACTTAATCAGAATTGAGATTTATTATCGTAGAAAAACTCACTGTTGCAAAGTGAGGAAGAATTTTCCGTACCTATTTCCTTTTAACTAACTAAAAATAATTCAGGATTTGACTTTTCAAACACGATTTTGCGTGCACGTATGGAAAATACTCGTATTTACTCTCTGCGAGCGAAGAGGTTTGCTTCCATATACATCAATTGTTTCACATGGATTTAAAGAAACGACGTTACGACGTTTTACGTTACTGATTCGCGACATTTGGATAACACACGATGTGAAACACCTATATTTCGCCGTGTTAAGAAAATAATTTTCCGTCTAACATGCAACAAATACCTACAGCATCTCGACGGTGAAAGTCGGCAATCACATAACTCGGTTTGCGACGTCGCAGACTTCCTGTCATACTTTATTTTTTAAACGGAAAACTACTCAACGGTAATTCTTTAAAACTGCCGTGATTTTTCTTCTATGTGCGAGGAAAATTCTGCAAAAACTTCAAGGAATCATGTCCATTTGTTCTCCTTTAAAAAAATAACATAGTTGCGGAGATTTTCAGACACCGCAAACGAGTTATGTGATTGCCGACTTGCACCGTCGATCTGCCAATAGCTTATTTTCTTCACAAATGAACTCATTCAGGCAATAACGCTCAGCAAGTAATTTTTCAAATGCCCAATTTTATTTTCTGGATCCTGGGTATAAATAGTTTTCCCGTCTGACGACGCAAGTGTTTGCGACGTGTCCTTGGCTTCCGCATGCCGCCTCAATTTACTGATTGGATGTTACGCAAGAGGCTGAGAAAAGCATTAAAATAAGCTTCTCCTTACATCGAAAACTCTAACACGGACTCATGGAGACAAACTACTACGATCATTTCATTTAACATTTCAAAAGTCACTGACCTTTCATCAACCGTAGGCTGTCAATTTAAAAAGATTCAGTGTGATTTCTGCAAAACGTTATGAAGCACTGGATGATAGCTAGCTATACTTTATGCGGAATTTTTTAATTTTTTAATGTCTCTCCATGCCTGCATTTCATCCCGCGATATTAAGTATTTCGTGAGCCTCAATTGGACGCATTGCTGCCAAACCAGAACTACGTGCATTATGACGTGAGCCCTGTTATGCATATATTCTTATGGGTCTCGGGGCTCATATCTTAATGCACATGGTTCCGTTTGGCAGAGATACGTCCAATTATTATTAGATACGGTTGGATGCCCTGACTGCAGATTTTTTCTTCAGATAAATGTCATGTTATGCATGCCATTGGACGGATCAGATAAAGTCATTTTCAGTTGTCGAATTGAGCTAAGTACACATGCTTCTGCTCTTTATTTTCTCGACATGAAACCCATCTACGGAGGGAATTTCAAAGAATATGGAGAGCAGTTGATTATCGAAGGCGAAACTCCCAAACCACGTATCTCTGTTTGCGGCGTCGCACAGTGGTTCGAGTCAATTAGAGAGGTCGAACATACAATTTTTGATTGAAACTGTAAATTTTGATGTTTATTTCGTCACATTTTACATTACAAGGGGTGCTACCAAAAGAAAATTTCTCGAGAAAACCAATGGAATCACTTTTAGAACCTCAAAGTTTGTATAAACGGAGTTATAAGCGTTTAAAGTTTCCAAATTTTTTTCCGATCTCTGCTATTGACTCGATCCACTGTGCGTCGTCGCCCACTGCCTGCAATACTTTGATGTTTAAAGGAAGAACTACTCAACGTCAATTCATTGGTTTCTCTATGCAGAAAGGTGCCTTTGTGGAGGAGCCAGAGATAGTGAGTTCTTATTGCAAAATGTAATCCAATTGAGGTGGTAGGCTCGAGAGGTTTTTCTGGTAAAAAAAATTAATGGAAAGGAGAAACTAGACGTTGCGAATATCGACACTACTTGTTTTTGGACTAACGCTATGATCATCCATTATATTAGTTTTTCGCTCGATTCATAGCGCAGCAAACATTGGCGGATCCAGCAAATTGGCAACATTGTTTTTCCCCATTTAAACCTATAGAAAGTATCGATTCTTGGAGGGGCCAGTTGCTCCGATAAGAATCGATTATTTAGCATGTTTAAATGGAGGCAATCCGGTGTTGCCAAATTGCTGGACTCGCCTCCGGCAGCAAAATCCTCCGGGGAGTATGAAGCTTTTTCCTGTTTACCGATCGAATAAGTAGCGTGCTTGAAGTCGCGTACTCCTTCAAGGACGTCCAGGTTGAGAGTTTTTTTCAGATTTAATGCCAAAATATACTCTCAACTATTATTATCGGGTAAACAATAAAGAATGGTGAATGAAAACTCACCATCTGTCATTTCGATGCTTGATGAGTTTGATTGCGAAGCAGGTGAGTCGTAGAGCAGGTTACTCACATCCAAATGAGTATCTTCCAGACACACTGCTTTCCAGATCTCCAGTTGTGCATACAGCAAACTTCCGCTCTGTAACAGACCAATTCAGTTTCATTATAGACATACCTTTATAAGTTTAAGGTGATTCGATGGACGCCATATTTTGTGTCAGAACGGCATGCGATATATCGCATCAATTGGTTCCATTTTTTCAGCTATTCGTCATTTTTCTCCAATTTTGAGATCGCAATTCTGTTATCAGGAGACTAAAGCACTCACTTACCAATTTTAACAAAGAAATTCAACGTAATAAAGGCGTGGTTTTTTTAGAGAGAAAATATCGCATTCGAGTGCAGTTTCGATATCAGTATCGAATGCGATGTTTTCTCTCTGAAAAAACCACGCTTTTATCACGTTGAATTTCTTTGTTAAAATTGGTAAGTGAGTGCTTTAGTCTCCTGATAACAGAATTGCGATCTCAAAATTGGAGAAAAATGACGAGTAGCTGAAAAAATGGAACCAATTGATGCGATATATCGCATGCCGTTCTGACACAAAATATGGCGTCCATCGAATCACCTTAATTCTGTCGGATTATTATAAAAACGACATCACGCTCTTACGACTCTACAACAATTAGCAGTGACACGGAAAATAGAGAGGCAGGGAGAAGGCAAATTTATAAACCTAATGATTTTTAAAGGATTAATTTCTTGTGAGAAAAAATTTAAATAGAAAAGAAATTTAAACTAGTGAATTAGAAGACCCTTATAACATTCATTGACGTGAAAATGTTCTCTTTTTTTACGGTGATTTTAGTAGGTACTTCATTCGACTAAATTTTTAAAACACTTTAGTGCTCATTTTTAGTGTGACATATAATTTACTTTGCACTGTTACTTTGCATTCCGCATCAACATTAGCAAGTCAGGTTATTCAATGCAAATTTTTGGAAGTGTTGCGCAAAAAATCTAAAAAAAATTGGAAATTGTGTGTACTGCGTTTTTTTTTTTTTACCATCAACACATAACGGTTGATGCTAGCAATTAAAGATGTTCAATGAGGGATGAACGTGAAACATTTTACGGGTCAAAAGACCCGGAAAATGCGAAAAAATAAAGTTATTTCTGGTCTGAATAACGACCACTGAACGTGGCCCTTGACCTGTATAATTATATCACATTTTCACATTGAGAGCGCCACAGCAACAGCAACCAGCAGCTTATAGATGATGAAGATTATCATATTAAGAGTGCGAATTACGCTTTTACGGCCTGAAGTAATTTAAACCATTTTTTTAGAATAACTTAAGGATTATTTTTGTTGCATTCACCGCGATCAATGATTATTCCCTGCTTTTGACTCGGCGTCCCAGCGTCCCCCACCCTTGGCAGCCTTTAAGCTCTCGGGTCCACTGGGACGCGAGATCCTATGATTAAAACTCGGGCACCACTAATTATACATAATGCGGTTACCAGGAAAATGCGTCTATTGCAAATTTCTGCTACAGCACGAAGTTTCCTTATAATTAGAGTGGCTCAAAAATCACGAAGAGGGATAAGGATAAGGAATCCTAAGATGTCTGTCATCCAAAAACAATAAACCTGATCAAAACCTAACCAAAGAAATTGCAAGAAAATAAAACGAAATTGATTTGTGAATAATTTAAAATAAAAATAACAATTTACTCTTGATAAATCACAATTAGGTAATGTTTTCATTTTTTTTCCACATTCGAGCAACCGCCATCTTAAAGTACTCTATTGTGACTCCATGAGCAAGAACGAATCAGAATTGGAATTATTTTGGGCCACTTTCAGCCCGACCAGAATTGAGATGTCGTAACTCTGGGTGTAAAGAGACTAAAGCCCTTTTAGGCCCTAATAGCTAGCTACACATAGAGTACATAGAGTCGTAATGTAAGTGGGAGAGCTAGAGCTGGCGCCACTTTTAAGCATTTTCCAGGTCCCGAATTCCAAGACTCCTGTGTGACGCCAGGTCACTTTATCGATACATGATCGATTGTTTGCGATACACGGGTACCCGGCCATCCGATGTAAACAAAGAAGATAGGAATCACCACGTATTCCACACCGCCATTTTGGATCGAACATGTATCGAAAAAGTGACCCGAGCTCGGCGCACACCGGGCTCGGAACTCGTCGAGCAGAACATGGCGCCAGCTCTCCCATTTACATTACGGCTCTATGTACTCTATGCTAGCTACATGGCCTGATCAAACCTATAAAAAAACAAAAACCCTCCAAATTTTCGACGTGTCCATACTTTCCCTATGAAGATACTCTAATTCGAACAATCGGTCTATGGCTTCGATTAAAAGGGAAAGAGGTTGAGCACCAGTCACCGTGGTAAATGACAGCGCCGCGACGCTCTGCTCTGACTCTTGGACATGAGAGACTCGGCTCGGCTCGGCTCGACTCGCCTTGGAGAGGTTCGCATGAACATGAGCTCGGTCCCTCGGGCCGTATCGGAGCGGCGGCGGCGGGGGGGCTCGTGGTCCTTGAGGCCGATTACGCGCGTGCCGGTGGAAATCCCGAGGTGCAAGCGTCCGAGCCGGGCGAGCGGCGCGGGCGCGGGGTGCGGTTTCGTCGTTTCATCACGAGCGATTACCCGGGCCCAGGCCGGGAGCCAGGAGAAATTACTCGCATTCTTGGAGTGAAAGTAAGCAAAACACGGCCTGGGCTCGGGTCCGAGGACTCGAGGAGGCCTCTTGGCTCCGCGGTCCGCGGTCGTCGCCGCGTTGACGTCAGCAGGTGTCGCGGTTCGGCGGGTCCGCGCCCCCTGGCACCCGCGCGGCCCCACCCGAGTTCCACAAACCGGCCACCGTGACTCCATGACTCACTCTGCTCCGAGTCCCGCGCCTCAAATTTTGTCGGGTCACGAAAGTAAAAGTCATCTTGAGTCATAATGTCCCGGGACTCGTGTCATAAGCCTCTTCGGACCCACCCACGCCTCCGTGTGTTTTGCAACCTACGCATCGAGCGAGCTTCGTGCAATCAGAGGAGATGATAATTATACCCATTTTGGGATATAGTTATAGATTATAGAGTCCCTTTATATACTGAGAGTAAAGACAATGCGAATCCATTCCTGATTGGTTCCTGTATTTTAGGCCTTCATAGTGTCACGAACGGGTATGAAGATTACATTTTCACCAATTGCAAAGATTATAAACTGGAATGGACCGGGGAATTGGGAGTGCGGCAAGGGACAAATGGAATGAAAGAGGGAACGGAGACAGGAATTCGGGAATAGAGCAGTAGCGTGGCGTGAATTGCGATGTATCGATTGTTATGTCATTTAAACCTATGGGGAAGAATCGATTATTAAGGTGTTCGCTGCGAACACCCTGTTTATCGATAGAGATAGACCTGAAAAGAGACTGGAAAGGATCACACCATGATGCATTCCGCATTCCAAAAAAATAGACAAAAAATCGTTGAGTTGATGGAATTCAGCTAGGATGGCCCCACCACTATACCTGTCCTTTTAACAAGAAAAGGTTTTATTACTTCATCAGCTGTGGTATTTGACACCACAATTGTTCGAAAAAAAAAATGTCAATAAACTCTCAGACATTTCGACAATTTTTTAAAGACTTTTTTAAGCCAATTTTACAAAGAGTAAAATTACATCTCATGACACAGCCAAACCCAAAACGTCCATTTGAACAATTTTTCAGAATTTCGAAAAATACTTTTAAATCGCTGGAAAAAAAGCACATTGGATCTAGAGTCCAGACTCTTAAAAACATCGACAAGAAAAAGTACTCTTGATTCTATCGTATTTTGCTTAAATTAAGAACTAAGCCTCTTAATTTGAGCGGATTTCCTTTTGATCCAAGCAAAAATCTGATTGAATCAAGAGTATTTTTTCTTGTCAATGTTTTCAAGAGGGTGGACTCTAGATCCAATGTGTTTTTTTTCCAGTGATTGTTCTAAAAAAAAATTTTAATAAACTCTCAGATATTTCGACAATTTTTAAAAAACTTTTTTAAGCCAATTTCACGAAGAGTAAAATTACACTTCATGACACAGCCAAACCCAAAACGTCCATTTAAACAATTTTGCAGGATTTCGATAAATATTTTTAAATGGTCATAGCAACTAGGGGATGTACAAACTGGCTCTGCCGCCGGAGAGAGGTAGGATCGGACGAGGCAACGGGCAAGGAGTCGGTCGGCGCTGCGGCGCGGCGGTCGAAAGATACGCAGCAGAAGAGAAAGCCTCTCTCCGAAGCGAGCTTGGAACTTGGACGCGCGGCATCAGGTATCCACCAGCAGCGTCGTCGTCAGGTACGAAGAATTCAAGCACGGAGCAGGCAGCGGCCACGCTAGGATTCNGGGGGGGGGGGGGGGGGGTTGTCTCGAGGAATCGTCCCACAAACCAGTCATTCACCTCGTTGCGCGGTCCTCGTCTTCGGGGCCTCCTCTGCCATGCCGAGTCGAGCCGAGGCTGCCACCGTACAATAAGACGGTTCACGGTAGAAGCCGGACAAATGCGGAAACTTCAAACGCTTTTATCTCCGTCGATATGAGACGTGGAGGTTTTAAAGCGGTTCCATTATTGGTTTTTTCGTGACATTTTCTTCGAATATCATCCCTAGGAATTTATATTATGGCGGAATCAATATTGAAATTTGCAATTTTAGTCTAAAATTTTATGTCCGCCTTCTCTCAGTACCTCGTCCCCGTGTGCGGGGGTGCGCCGCGCCCTGGCAAGGAAGAAAGAAGTGACTCCGCTCTCGCGTGAGTCCCAGAGTGCGTAAGAGCAAGTTCCAGCCATGGCTCACGTTCTTAGGGAGTTACTGCTGACTTCTATATCGGGGCGGCAACGAACAGTGGGACGGGCCTTTGAGAGGAGTTGGAGATGAATTTTTGACTAATAATACACTGGGAAAAAAAAAAACATATTGGATCTAGAGTCCAGACTCTTGAAAACATTGACAAGAAAAAATACTCCTGATTCAATCGGATTTTTGTTTGAATCAAAACGAAATCCGCTCACATTAAGAGGTTTGGTTCTTGATTTAAGCTTAAATCTGATTGAATCAAGAGTATTTTTTCTTGTCGATGTTTTCAAGAGTCTGGACTCTAGATCCAATGTGTTTTTTCCAGTGCATTTTTTGTTTATTTCGTCACAACATAAGATTTGAGGGGTCCCTCTTGCAGGAGAAAACCACCAGAATCCTCTTTCAAACTTTGTCGTTTTGTATTAACGGATGATAAGCTTTTAAAGTTTCGCTTCGTTGTGCGACGCACTGGTTCGAGCCGCTGAGAGAGGTTGGACGTGAAATTTTTAACTAAGACTGCAAATTTTGATGTTTAATTTATCACGTTTTAAATTTTAAGGGGTGCTTCTAAAGGCAAATTTCACGAGGAAACCAATGAAACCACTTTTAAATCCTCGAAGTTTTGTATGAACGGAGTTATAAGCTTTTACAGCTTCCAAATTTTGTCCGACCTCTCCGATAGACTCGCTTCATTGTGCGGTGGTGCGGCCGGCCAACTTTTCGCTCTTGGTAGCCATTAACATTCCCTCGTCGAGTTACCGATCAATCAGTGGCGTGGCGTGGTTGGCGATATATCGATTGAGCTGCCATTTACACCTATGGAAAAGGATCGATAAAGAAGGATTTCGCAACGAATACCTTAATAATCGATTCTTTACCATAGCCTCAAACAGAGAAATATCGATAATCGATCGTTCGCGCCTCGCCACTGCAATCGATCCATCCATTGCCGCACTTTCCTCCTCATATTCTCGCGTGGAAATATACGATGACTTCCCGTTGGTTTCGAGATATCTGTCGTTTTGAGGAAAACCACGCATGAGCACCCGAAAGTTTCCAAATTTCTTCTGCAGAAACATTAATTTTTGAAAAAGTTACTCAGTTTTTTCTTTTCTCCAGACTTCTTAGATTCATTTGAGCATTAAATTCCGTAAAAGTACAAAGTATATAAATTGTTGAGAATATTTTCTTTTTGTTAGCAGAAATTTGGCAACATCTGAATGTTCATACAGCGTTCCTCCATGGCAGGGCGGTTTATAGGTGTGTTGGAATAGTTGACGAGAATGCTATGTATTTTCAGTGCCACATCTTCTTATTTCGACCGGTTGCGTAATCGATATTCAAATAGTCCTTTTCCCTTTTCTGGTGCCTTAACGGCATGCTTTAGCTTATTTTTTCCTATAACCAAAACGCAAAATATATATTTTGCGTTCACCACTTTTGAGATTCATGCACTGTAATCCTAGCTAAGTTGTACTGGTGTACAGGAAAATGTATCGATTTGATATCATTAATGCATGTGCCAAGGGTGGCGATAAAGTAAAGCAAGAATGATCCATAAAATCTTTAAATTGATTTTGTATTGAATCTGGGCCTTTAAAAGCAAATAAAAACTTTTTCAAATCCTATTAGTGAGGGCTCAGATAGAAATATAACAGGGATATTGCTGGCGTCGACATTCCTAGTATAAGCAAGAGATAATGAGCTGTAGCTAAAATAAGATACCCTCTGTTAGAATTAAAATTTTTATATGCATACAAATAATTGCCGTTCAACTGCATTTAGCCTGTAAGATCAAGCGATATAATTTGCATTATCTCGTTGCTACATCATTGACTTAAAATAAACTATTTTTTGAGGCTTAACTTAAAATAGTTTGCATCATCTGCTATTTCGAGAGAAAAGGGTGAGGTTGGCAATGAGCTCTACCTACTTTTACTCGCGACTTTAAGCTGATGATGACATTCTGAAATGAGAAGTTGGAAAGCTGACGGCGAGCATTTTTCCGAAAGTAGTTTTCTCTCGTGAGAGTTTGTGGAGGAAAAGTGAGCTAGATTTCGTGTCGCATGTTTCCATACCTTGCCAAAACTGAACGAGTAAAACGATCACATGCTGTGAGAGACTTGGGTTGACAAGGCAGATGCACTGTTTCAAACCACTTTGCCGTCGATGAGAAAATAAGGTAGGTGTGATTGACTTCCCATAGGGGAACGGTTGGTAGAGTCGGAAAATTAAAAATTGGCATCCTAATACTACTGCCGATGCTGCCGCACTAAGGAAAAACGCCGTATGAGCCTTCAGACGTTGCCAAATCACATGTCACACATCTTTTACTCATAAACAGCAGATTTCAAATTAAATCGGAATTATAAAGGTTTTAAGTTTTAGTTATCAAAAACGTAGTTTTAAAATAAGAAAGCTGCTTGATGAGTCATGGTTTTTTGAAGTTTAAGAGTGAAATTCGTCGGGTTATAATGCAAGGTCGTGGTCTATATTAACACTGGAATAAACTAAACATTTCGCAACTTAGCTCAATAAGTACAAGAAAGTTACACCATCACCTTAACTCTCCAACCAACGCTCTTGAGAGACTTGTGCAAGATAAAGAAAATAAACTCTTTGCCCCCTATTTCTTAAAGGCCTTAAAAAGTTAGAAACTATTACGAGGTGCATGGATTTGGGAAATTTCACCATTATCTCTGGAATTTTGAAAAATTACTCGCGTGGCCGTTGGTGAAAAAAGAGACTTTCGATTTTAGAGGTCAATTTTTCAAGAGCGTACTTTTTGTCAAGCATAGAGTAAAAAAATTGGTTTCCAAATTCCGGCACGGAAAACTCCATATCATCTCAAATAGGGAGTTACAAGTTGCTAGGTTCATTTTCGTATCATTGGAGGGCATGAAACTACAATAAAAATGTTGCAAATTGTTGCAAAAAATGATCGTACGGCGTGCGGTACGAACATATGGATGCTGTCAAATTTTCCACATTCAAATGTTCATTTCATTGAAAGTTATGAATAGTTTTCCTTGAAATTTTTGACTCAATTAAATTTCGAATGAACTCCTCTAAAAATGTCAAGAAAACATTCATCGATTTTCCAAAGAATCCGTATTCCATCGGAAGTTTGGCAACGCTCCGAGGTTCATGCGATGTCTTTTCTTAGCATGGCAGTATGTATCTGTCGAGCGTTTCTGGGCGAGTACAAGAGGACGATGACGTCATCATTAATGGACAGTGGTATGGATGATGATGACTCGTCGACTGACGACTGGCCGCAGTGGTGAATGTGTTAATGAAGTCACAGGAATTACCGTAAGTCCATTCATAACGAACAACAGACAATCGCTCATTAAGGCCAACCAAAGCGCACCTTGAAGAGCGTTACAAATGAGATGCATACCTGAGTGTCTTCCTCCAGGTTTCTTTGCAATTTTAAACTTAAGAAGTAGAGCAAGTTAAAGATACCGAGGGGTAGGGACTATTATGTTGCTGTCAGAAATAGAAAATACGCTGGGCATGATGTAATGCACACGGCTACGTACAGTTGACATTCATTATTTCCTCTCTCAGCCACAGGAAAGCCCTGGTCCTCGTATTTGGGAAAAGCTTAGAAAAAAGAAACCGAGAGAATTGGAACAATGGTGAAAGCACCACTTTTTAGAGCGAAATCAATAGCAGAAATGTCGTTCCTGGTGACAAATTATGTTCTTGTCCTCGAAACTCAGCTCATTGAGTATTGCCAAAACAGAATTGGATGATCCATTTATTTATGAGGAAACTGAGTTTATAAAACCTCCGATGTATGAAGTGCGTACTTGGGTGAGCTTTTTTCGAACATCGACGGTGAAACTCCAGAACAATGTACCTCGGTGCGCGAAGTTCTGGAATTCTTGACATATTTTATCTTTCATTTGGGAAACTACGTAACGACAATTCTCGAAAACGTTCTCCTCTGTGCGAGGGAACTTCTGTGAAAATTTCAAGGAATAATGTTGATTTTTCGCTCCTTTAAAAAATACGATTAAAGTGGAGATTTTAAAACGCCGCACACAAGATATGTGGTTCGGAAGTTCCAGCGTTGATGTATCATTTTACGAGACAAAAATTCTGAGATGATGGTGATTTTGAATAGAATTTTTTCGAGAGTGCACTTTGCAGCAAAATGTAACGCCAAGAACCCACTTTGTAAAATTTTGAGTCATGATAAGCGAAGGACAATTCTCAAGATGAGGAAGATCTGAATAATGAGCTTACCTGAAATGATATCTCTTGAAACTTTTCCTCGGATAGAGTGACCAGCTCAGAGCCTTTTATTTTGAAAAAGTCTGCCGTGCTCAACGGCTGGTTGTACTGCCTTAAATTCCACAAAACCCAGCATTTGACATCCTCTTCTGACCATTGCACTGGATCTGAAAACAAAGCGCACAACAAATTGGAATGATTCGAAAATGAATGCAGACAAGTCATGGATGAAAAACATGTCCAATGCTCTCCAAATAAATAAATTAAATCAAGTTCAGAAAAAAGAACCAAGTTGCCCAGATACGTTCAGCATGCACTTGTTTCTACAGAGAAATGCAAGACTGATATGTCGCCTCTGAAATGAGTCGAAAAAGATGGTTCTTTGCTGCTGAACTTGTACAATTTGACTGCATTTTGCAATTGGGAACTACAATATTTGGCTCATTTCACAAACAACGTATGTATCATTAGGTTTTGTATGCAGATAAGTGCTTTTGTAGGTAAACCAAAATTAGTAGTTCCTAATTGCAAAATGTAGTCCAATTGAAGGTTGACGGGTTTAGTGGCGATCGATCGTCATGGCTTTGGCTCTCACACAACCACGCCCATAATAGGTTAGACGCCTGCAATTTTTCCTTTATCGGAGGCACTTTGACAAAAAGGCATATCTTCACTTTAAGACGAGCCCTGAGGTCCATGTAAATCTATGCATTTCAGAGCTCAATTACAACGGAGGTACGCCTTTCCGTCAGCGACGACTTGTCACGGATAAGAGCGAGAGGCGTTAACGACGAGGTGCTTACATTTCATCAGGCATTTATTGAAAACACGCATAATTAACACCGTTCGAGGCGAACCTCATTAAAATCAATCTCGCTCGATTTCTTTTGTTTTCTTACGCACGTATGAAATCTTGTGACGTAACGCGCTGACAAACAGATTACTCTGTTATAATCCTTAAAATTATCACCTACCATCCTACTGAGCAATTAAGTACCTTGTGTTGATTCAATAACACATGCACCAGGCCACTTAAATATATTAGATGCCTTTTTGATGTTTGAGGGGAATGCTTTATTTGATCACGTGTGAATTCTATTGTCTACTGTAGCTGGCATCGAAACCATTTCGTGTCAAAGAAAAACATACCAAATCATGTATCTATGATACTATACGTACAGTGTACAAGTGTACCAAAAAAAAAAAAAAAAAAAAAAAAAAAAAAAAAAAAAAAAAAAAAAAAAAAAAAAAAATGTGAAAGGCTTGCGGTCGCGGTACGAAAGGAAAGAAGGCTTAAAGATATTTGTCGCTATTTTTGATAGAAATGCACGAAAACATTTGTCTAATGATCATTCGAAAACTTTGAGATCCCAGCTTCATGCTCAAAAATATTATAACATTCAGAAATGCTCATAGATTCGGGATTTTTTTTTTTTTTTTTGGAGTAGTTCGATAATTTTGGGATTTGGAGATTTTAGGGATTTTTTGAAAAAGTTAAAAAGCTCCCAGAAATCAGGGGTTTTGAGTAATGAACCTATGTTTGAGGAGTTTTCAGCAAATACACTGAACAAAAATCAGAATTGCATAATATGTTGAAAAAAAAAAGTTGTGGAAGTTTTAAATGCCCTCCTCCATCTTTGGATAAAAAGAAGGATGTGGTCCTGGCTAAATAGTTAGAGGTAAATAGTGTAAACACTTTGCATAATATTTAACTGGTGAAGTTTAATTTTAGTTCATACTTAGTTAGTCCCTTATATTAAATTTCAAAAATGAGACTGGTCAGTATTGGCTCCAAAGTATAATGCTGATCTAAATCAGCCAAATAAAACGCAAAGGGCCGAGTCATATCCTTTGAATAACAGATTATTGCAAATGAAAGGAAAATTACGATTAAAGCTCCTGAAATACGTAATAAATTATCATCTATACTCCTGATTGTTCTAGAACTACGCCAAGGATAAGTGAAATGACGTAAAACACTCCTGAATCACGTATTTATTTGGTAAAAATAAATTTGATAAGCATGGCGATCAAGGAAAGAAAGGAAGAAGGAAAGAAACAATCAAATAATATGCTTCATTGTGTTTTTCTCGACTGATACAGACTTGCTATGCTGCATTACTCGATAATAATTCACTTTCACTTCACGCTTGCGTCATTTGTCGCTCAAACACGATGGGAAGTAGGTGGTGAAGGAGGGGAATGGGGAGAAAATGAGAACATGGAGGTGGGAAGAAGGTGGGATGGAGAAAAGAAAAATTAAGAAGGCATGTTAGGCTGCAGGTAGGAATTGGTGGAATTTTACATAGGTATTATCATTAATGGAAGGATTAGAATGAGCACAGTGTAAGCTATAAAGACAGCTCGACTAGGTTCGTTGGGCAGAGAGAGGCTAGGCTTTATTTTGGGGAAAAATAATTTAGGAGTAGCTTTTACCCGTTCCAAACGTATATTTTTTCCTGGCAACAATTTCAAGTCGAGATAATGACCTAAGATTTGACTTTGAAAAAATGGACTAAAGTATACCTATTACACTGAGTGTTTTTGAGGTATAAAATTTCGAATCAATTCGCTTTTTCGGTTCCAATTGAATGTGGCTTAGTTCCTTTCAGCTAGACAGTAATATTGATTGTGATAGCAGGGATTTCACGATTAAAACGGCAAATTCTCGTATTTACATGGACTTTGCAAAAAAATTTAAGAGTGTATGAACACACACGACTCGTCACATTCGTCTATGTCCTGACACGTTAGCAAATGTATCTAATCACACTCTGCTGAAAAATGTCCAAAAAGGCCACTTAAAACATTGCAAGAATGGGAGAAAATTTAATTGGGAGGTCGGGGAGCATTCGAGAATAATACGGTGAATAACGGTTTGAGGCGCAAACCTGTTATGCATTTCTCGGATGAGTTTTATTCCGAACGCGGACTCGTTTCTCGGTAAAAATTAAGCATCCCGAGGTACATCAAGAATTTCGAGGAAAAATATCGTTTTCGGTCGCATCATCATTCGGTTTTTCATGGGAATCTTCACTCCGAAGACTTGGCTCATTAAAAATTCATTTTTATCCGCCGTTACGGATGCTTAAATTCGTTGCCAAAATTATCTCCAATTAATGATAAAATTAAGCTCGGCTAGAGTGTTTTCAAAGACATGCATTTTATTATTTCCTTACACTGAAAAAAAAGTTACGGGCTATATATACATACCGTCCGTTCCGGGCTCAGAAGCTGTAGTTTCGATTTCTCCGGGTGCTACGCCCAGAACTTTCGGCCTCTGAGCCTGGAACGCGGGCGGTATGTCTATATATAGTCCGTAAGTACGGCTCCCACAGCCGGATTTTTTTTTTCAGTGTGAAAAATACTAGACGCAGCCCTCATTTTAGGAGGGTAAGAGCAGAATATAATTTGCTTTTCACTTATATATTTTACCAGACTTTAATATGATAAAGTTTCCCTATTGAGCCTAGGAAATCGTATACGTGTACTCAGGCTTGCGACGTTACAGATTTTCTGTCGCATTTCATTTTATCGACATACAAATAGTCATGATTTTGATGCAAATTACGTGGGATCCATCAGGAAAATATCGCACTTAGACGTTAAAACTAGTTTTCCCAAAAGAAACCAATCAAACGAATCCAAACAAAGGACCACTCATCAAAGTAGGTTAAAGGAAACTCTACAATGTCAAGCCCAGATACATAATTTCTTTGCGAATTAGAGGGCGAGCAACATTGCAATACATTTAAAAAATGAACTGATTGGAATATTGACTATGTCGCGATAAAAATAAGTAATGGTATACTTCATTGGCACAATAAGCAACGCTGGAATTAATAAGTGTAAGATAAACAAGTGATATTCAGTTAGTGACGTATGCGACGGATACTATACGAATTTCATTTGAACTCCTAGATGCAACTATTCGGGCTCCATGGACGTCCGTGTTGCATGCGCACGGAAATGAAGGCGTTTTGCAGACGCTAGGTGCCTCACAGCGGCGCTCAGTGGAGTGAGTCAATGAAAGGATCTGAGCAAAATGTGGAAACATTCAAGCTCATATCGACGTTTACGGAACGTAGAAGCTTTAAAAGTGTGTTCCTCGATTTTCTGGTAAAATTTCCTTTAATGAAGTAATGTGAAGAAGTTAACATCAAAATTTTCTGTTTTAATCGAAAATTTTATGTTCGACTTCCGAGTCAATCTGAATCGATAGATCGATTCGGGTCATTCTATAACAGCTCAACAATTGACCTGCTGGGCCGTGAAGAAGATTCGGGGCATTCTTGAAGTTGCAAGCGATTAGTGTCACCGTCGTACTGCGTGGCAGGTTTGCAAATTCGATTTCGAGAACTGCGAACGGTTTCGACAGGGAACCTGATCACCGAAACTCGACCGGTAACTTGCCGAATGGCCTTGATATCACTGATGGTAATGGTTTTTGTCCATCAAGGTCGTTCGACAAAAGATGCGATAACGTTCCGATAATGAACCCGCTGGATAGACGAAAAGCATCGGAAATATATCTTTGTCGATCAAGGTCCTTCGACAAAGGCACGATAAAGTTTCAATAATCAATCCGATGGATAGACAAGGAACATGAGGAGATATAGCTTTGTGAATCAAGGTCGTTCACTGAAAAAAAAAGTTACGGGCTCTATAGACATACCGTCCGTTCCGGGCTCATCGGCCAAAACTTCCGGATGCTGGAGCCGTACACTGAGAAAAAACTATGGCTTATAAACCTATTAGAGGTAAATATGGAACACCACTAATAGTAGTACCTCTACATATAATAATAGCACATATACCTTAGTTATGGTACGGGGTACCTTAATTAGGTACAGAGACCTTAGTATGGTTCACAGACCGAGAATCATTAGTTTATTTACGACTATTATAGGTGTTCCATATTTACCTCTAATAGGTTTATAAACCATAGTTTTTTCTCAGTGATAGCTTTGACTGCTCCGGGTGCTACGCCCGGAACTTTCGGACTCTGAGCTCGGAACGTGGACGGCATGTCTATATAGCCCGTAAGTACGGCTTCCACAGCCGGAGTTTTTTTTCAGTGTTTGACAACAATAGCGCGATAAAGTTCCGATAAAGAACCCGCTGAATAGACAAGACAGTGGAAAAACAAGGGGAAAAACGGGAACCA